CTCAGCATGTCATGTCTAAACCCCCATTGTAAAGATAAGACCACGTCATGCTCAGCGCGTCATATCTTGGTAAATGTGACTCCATGATTCTCATCCCGGGTATGTTGACCATGTATTTCCTTGGGCCTGATGTTCACGTTCGTCTTGTCCATATCATTTACGGGCTAAGCCCACATTCAATCGGGCTTACCATATTAGGCTGGTATTTATGTCATCATTCTTATTCATATTTTAGAAAATTTCTCTTTTGACATGTATGCACTTCTGACTTTTGATCTTATTCACATGTTAATTATGCTCGTGGAAAAAATTAATTAAGCCTTGAATAGAAACTTGATACAATCCAAGCTAAGATAGCACCATTTGATCTTTCTCTTTCATTGATCATCAGTTGTATTTGAGAAAATGCTTTTTCTCGCCCATGTTTAGGTAAAAAGGCAACAAAAGCTAGAAGACAATACTTCATTGTTCTTCGATGGATTTTTTTTGGAAAAGCAAAATCGAATTGAAGGACAGGTAGGTTACTAGTACATATTTATGTTGAATTATCAATTTATCTATATACTTCTTTGTTCTGATTTTTAAGCATTTTTTGACTCCGATATTATGAATCGATTTATGTTAATCGATTTCAAAATCTTTTGAAAATAAGGTTTGAATGTTGTTTTGAAATCGGAAAGAGAAAATGGTCAAAATGATACGTAAAGTTGTATCGACGGGAGTAATTAGTACTTTATCTTGCATTTGAAATTTTAAAGTACATGAACTTATATTTTTATAATCAATCAAGTACATTTGCTATACTAGAACGTTAAAATAGCTTACCTGACTAAACTATCCGTTTGTATTATACAGTTGCAGTCCAAGTCATCAAATAATTAATCTATAAACTCTAATTTCACTTGTTTCCACCTTCACTTTTCATCTTATATTTCTCACATTTGTTCTCCCTTCTCTCGCTCTTCATCTTATATTTCTCTCGTCTGTTCTCCAAGAACAGAGTTAGGACACTGCGCCGGACTGGAGCAGTACAAAGATATTTTTGGGAAAAACTTACACAAAATTTTTACTTTAAAATTAAAAACATTTTTAAAATTTGAGTCGGGCCTATGTTGCCCCCCTCTAGCTCCACCCGTGTTGCTCTCCTCTTTCGTCTTCTCTCCCTGCTATCCCACCAACTTCTTCTTTTATTTGCTATCAGTCCATCTTTATTATAGCAAGAGAAGAAGAAAATGAAATAGAGCAAAAAGAAACTGACAAAATAACAGAGAGAGAGAGAGTAGCCGAGAGAAATATAAGATGTAGAGCGGAAATTAAAGAAGGGATAGCAAACGAGAAAAATATAAGATGAAGAGCGAAAGTGAAAACGAGTGAACTGGAAGGAAAATAGAATTTATAGATGAATTATTTGGTGACTTAGACTGCAACTGTATAATACAAAAGGATAATTTGGCCAGGTAAGCTATTTTAACGTTCTCATAGTTTCCATCTTGACCATTTTCTCAAACCATAAATATAAAAACAAAAAAAAACGCTAGCTTTAGCACACATTGACAATCAGCCAATAACATTACTGCCATATGATCGACATTGGCAATCAAATTAAAAACAATGTCCTCGGCAATAAAAAAAGAACATTGTTTTACACAATGTCACACGGAAACATGACCAATCTGAAGACTGTGACCAAGTGACCAACACTACACTACAAACGACATAACTAGTCATGTAACTATATTAAAATATATTAAAATGTAATAAAATACTCCTTAGTATTTGTAAGTTCTCTACATTAAGTTTGGACACAACATTTAAGGGTGAAATAGTAGGAGTAATGAATAGTGTAGAAAAAGTAGGAGAGAAGGTGGAAATGTATGAAAGAGAAGATAAAAACTTATAAAAAGTATGAAAGAGAAGATGAAAGTAGAAAAAGTAAGGGTAATTGAGTATTTTTAAATGAAAAACTTATAAAAAGGGAAATTGTAGCAAACTTTTAAATACATCTAAAAAAAGAAAGTGTAGCAAACTTTAAAATACGGAGGGAGTAGCTTTAAAGTATTTAATTGTCATAAAAGTGACAACGGTAAAACAAGTTTCTAAAGGAGAACCCTATGTGGGAGAAGTAGAAAGGAGCGTCTTCCAATCCGTTCTTCTCGTTTGCAGCAAAGGAGAGAGGAATCGTCATCTCTGGCCTTACTCTTCTCCGGCAAGAGTGATGTAGTGATCCAAACTATCTGATGGTGATATCAACAGTCAGAGATTCTTGGTAGAGGTATGATACAATTGAATTGTTCTTCACTTCTGGTTGTGTTGATTTTGTTCTATGACAATTCTTTCTCAGGCACTGGTGCTCCGAGGTGGTTTGTTTCTCTGGATGTGGGGAGTTCTACTGGAGTCTTGGCTAGCTTCATCTTGTCAAAGGTTTCTGTCTGCCTTCTTTTAGAGTGCATAAACTTTGGAAAAGCTCGTCCTCCCTTCAGAACCACCTCCGTGCCATGAAGAGTTTTGCGAAAATCTTTATTTCAATTTTATTTTTCTATTAGTAGTACTGATGGATTGTCCACCCGGGGGGTATCTTATCCGAGGGGTTATTGCGGGAATAACTAGAGAGAAGTCAGAGTAAAATAGGAGGAGAGAGAGTCGATTTTATTAAATGAACTCGAGATGCGAAGTTGGGATGTGGATGGTTTACAAGGAGAAATGGGCTGCTATTTATAGCAGCAATAAATGCGATGAGAGTACACGTGTCAGTAATCCAACGGCCGAGGGGTCACATCAGCCGGGTAGCACCGGCAGTGGTACGTTCACCGCATTGAATGCGGTTGGCGGATGTGACGTGGCATTAAATGCGGTGGTTGGCTGTCTCCAAAAGGAATCTTCGATGATTGAGCGTGTTTGGCCGAAGGCTCCTTGCGTAGCCGAGGGCTCCATGTGACCAAGGACCCCTGTGTAGCCGAAGGCCTTGTGTGACCGAAGGCTCCTTGTGTAGCCGAAGGCTTCTCTGATGCCGAGGGCTTGATAGTGCCGAAGGCTCATGATTGCCGAGGGCAACCATTCTACGCCGTTTTCTCCCTGAGGCTTCTTATGTTCAAAGCTGACTGCCGTGTGTAGTTCGGAGCCTTCGGCCGAGGAGGCCGAAGGCACCCCAGTGTGCGTTATGGGCTCCTTTGAAGCTTGGGCCGTTGTATTTGGGCCTGAGGTGCTCCCTGGGCTCAATGAGCTTATGTAGGAGAAGTAGGAGTCTATGGGCCGGGGGTTCCTGGGCCATATACTCCATCAAGTACTTGTTTTTATTTTAATTTGAGTAGGTCGTGTGTTCATTTGATAGGCAATATTCCCGTCCCGATTATTTTAGGCTATAAATTACCCGTTTCGTGTCTAGCGAATCAAGTTGCTTTGTATGAGCCTATGAGGTGACTGATTTTATGTCCATTTCCAGGGTTAACAATCAGATCTTTATAACTGTTTGGATGTTATCTTGTATCTTTTCTCGAATTTAATATAAAAAGTCGATCATTTATAATAAAAAATTAAAGTGACAACGTGAATGCTTTGTTACATTTTAGGCTTTCACACGTTTTTTTTGGTTTAATCAATCCAAAACGGGTTTGTTTTACAATAGGCTCAAGGAGTGTTTGCAAAAAATTAAAAAAAAAAGTTTTTCAACTTTTGACCTAAATAAATTTAAAAAGTTTTTTCAAATGACAACTATTGCTTAAACCTAAAAACTTGAAATGAGAGGCGCTTTAAACCTTTTTTCACGTTTTCTCTTAATCAAAAAACACTCATTTAAAAAAAAAATCCACCATTTTTTACCTTTTCAAAAGCACTTTATTCAAACACTACCAACTTTTACTATTAAGCACTTTCTCCAAAAGCACTTAAAAAATCACTTTTTTGAAGTAGAAGCAATCACAAATGTGACTCCCTTTATTTCATTTTTTAATTTAATTTGGATACTTGCTTACACGAGAATATATTATACTATCATCCGTTTCTTTTTAATTGTAACATTGATAATTTTCACTATTCTCATGCTCTTGTTTGACTACTCCGTACATTTTAATTATTTATCAATGTATTTTTTTTAAATGTTGGGTTTGTCTCATTACAAATATATTTTTATGATCTGGTTTTTATATTATTTTTTAATGGAGAATTAATTAATATAATAACGGTCAAAGTAGTGCATTAGTAAGAGTGAAAATGAGAATATATTGCAACTAAAAGAGAACGAATGAAATATAGCCATGAATGTATGTTTAGTTAAGTAATTGATACTCCGTAGTTAAGTGAGAGAAAAATTGTTTGGGTTTTTAAAAAAAATGGACTTCTTATTTATCATTCTAATAGAGTACACAGTTCTTAGGGCATCCACATTGTTTAGATTATTTAGAGTTTAATTGGATGATGTGTAAGATTATTTTAAAGATTATCATTGTGAGTGAGGGATTATTTAGAGAGATTATTGAAAAAGATAATCCGGTATCAAGATTTGAATCCCAGATTATTTTAGGTTGTAGTTAAATTTCATTTAATGCATGGTCTAGAAAAACTAAATTATTTGATTATCATGGTTGATGGAGAGTTTTAAGATTTGAGATTATTTAAAATTTATTTAATAAATATGGTGTGTCAATGATGTGTCATAGAAAAACCATTTATTTTAAGATCATGAATGAAGATGCTCTTAGTATGTCTAAGTGGGTGACGAAGGTCTTGAGTGGGTGAAGAAGGCTTTTGCATTAATGAAGATTAAATTAGGAGATCATATATCCACACATGCAGAATTGTCCTTATAGAGACAACTCGTTTATTTCTAGATGAGTTATTTGTGTACAAACAAATTTGTCCGTGTAGCCAGACATTGTGTAAATGGTGTACAAAAAAAGAGTACATCAAACAGTTTTGTTAGATTAATTATAGAGGTGTATCAGTGTATGGAGGAGTTTAATTGGGTGTTTGACCAAGTAATAATAAGATTAAAGTAGCTAGCTCACCTTTCTCCCTAGCTCAGCTCAGTTCATATATACTTCACCAAAACCTACTCCCCATATTCTACTATGCAATTCTGATCTACCTCATCCAACAACTTTATTCTATGCATGCATGTACCACTAATTACTTAATTATTAGTGTGCTGTTTTGATTGTTGTGATTAATTGTCATTAAGATAGATCAAATGATGTCTCAACATGGTTCCACCAGAGATGGTGTTTCCCTCACTCTCAGAGAGCTTCTTCAGACGCCCGCCGGCGATGGAAACAGCAGCCACAATGACCACCGCCATATTCTTGAGCTGTATGATCATGACCCATTCCCTAGCTCCCCGTTTCCGTTTGTCCTGTCGTTCCACAATCTCTACTACGCCGTGAAAGTCCGCCGCCGGGGAGTTATTAGGACATCGCCGGAGAACAACGTGAAGGTGCTCCTTGACGGCGTCTCCGGTGAGGCCAGGGAGGGGGAGATCACGGCGGTTCTCGGAGCAAGCGGGGCCGGGAAATCGACCCTCATCGACGCCCTGGCCGGCCGGATATCCCGGGGAAGCCTCGGCGGGACGGTGACCATGAACGGCGAGGTTCTTGAATCGAAGCTCCTCAAGGCGATCTCCGCCTACGTCATGCAAGACGACCTCTTGTTTCCGATGTTGACCGTCGAGGAAACGCTGATGTTCGCCGCCGAGTTCCGGCTGCCCCGCACCCTCCCCCACTCCCGGAAGAAGGCAAGAGTCGGAGCACTGATCGAGCAGCTGGGACTGAAAGCCGCGGCCAGGACTGTGATCGGCGACGAGGGTCACCGGGGAATCTCCGGCGGAGAGCGCCGCCGCGTCTCAATCGGGACCGACATAATCCACGACCCCATCGTCCTCTTCCTCGACGAGCCCACTTCCGGACTCGACTCTACAAGCGCAAACATGGTGGTCAAAGTCTTGCAGAGAATCGCAAAGAGTGGGAGCATTGTGATCCTGACCGTCCATCAGCCTAGTTACAGAATCCTGAGCCTTCTCGACCGTCTGATCTTTCTCTCAAAAGGCCAGACAGTTTTCAACGGCTCTCCGTCGTCTCTCCCGACATTCTTCCGAGAATTCGGGAACCAGATTCCGAAGAATGAAAATGTCTGTGAATTTGCTCTTGATTTCATTAGGGAACTTGAACAATCCCCTCAGGGAACGAGGAATCTTGTGGAATTCAACAAATCTTGGCAGTCAACTTCACTCTCCAGCATGGTCAACGCTAACAATGTTGTCCCAAAACCACCACATCTTAAAGAAGCCATAAGGGCAAGCATTTCAAAGGGTAAACTGGTGACAAACAGTGATGGCAATGGGAATGTCCAGAAATTCGCCAATCCGGTTTGGGTGGAAATGGTGGTTATAGGGAAACGGTCAATGGTCAACGCCGTGAGAATGCCCGAACTCTTCGGGATGCGGTTCGGGGCGGTTATAGTGACCGGAGTCATACTAGCCACCATCTTCTGGAAGCTGGATGATTCCCCAAAAGGGGTTCAGGAGAGGTTAGGGTTCTTCGCTTTCGCCATGTCCACCACGTTCTACACGTGTGCTGACGCAATTCCTGTTTTCCTCCAGGAAAGGGACATTTTCATGAGGGAAACTTCCCACAACGCCTATCGTCGATCTTCGTATGTCCTCTCTCACTCTATAATCTCCCTCCCGTCCCTAGCCTTCCTCTCGATTGCCTTCGCGACAACCACCTACTGGGCCGTGGGCCTGGCAGGTGGGATCCCGGGCTTCTTTTTCTTCTTGCTCTTCATATTCGCGTCCTTCTGGGCAGGTTCGTCCTTCGTGACGTTCCTGTCTGGGGTGATCTACAATGTCATGGTGGGGTACACTGTGGTCGTGGCGATCCTCGCCTACTTCGTCCTCTTTAGCGGGTTCTTCTTAAGTAGAGACAGAATCCCGCCTTACTGGATATGGTTCCACTACGCGTCGTTGGTGAAATACCCCTTCCAAGGGGTTTTGCAAAACGAGTTTGGCGACTCAAAGAGGTGTTTTGTGAAGGGTGTCGAGATATTCGAGGGGTCTCCATTGAATGGCGTCCCGAAAGAGATGAAGCTGAAGCTGCTGGAGAAGATGAGTGAGACGTTGGGGATGAATATTACTGCGTCAACTTGTTTGACCAATGGGACTGATATACTGAAGCAGTCTGGGCTCACTGATCTTGACAAATGGAGTTGCCTTTGGGTCACCATTGCTTGGGGTTTTTTCTTTAGGATTCTCTTTTACTTTACTTTGTTGGTTGGAAGCAAAAACAAGAGAAAGTAGTTCAATGGCACATGGCAATGACTCAGTCTAGCTAACCAGAAGATACATATTTCAATCTGATCTCACTCTTAGCTGCAAAGACAAAAATAATAATATATGGAGTAGTCTAATTATTAGTGACATATATATAGCTACCTTGCTCAGTTTGTAAAATATTAATAAATCAAAACTTTAATTTAACTTGCTCTTGTTTTATAGGGGGGCTTATGAGGAATCTATTTGCATTTAGTTTACATGTTATAACTACTTTATAAAGTGTAAGTTTGTGAGAAATATTAAAATGAAAGTGGAATAGTGATCCATGTCTGTTTTGTACGAAGTATATTATTATTTCATAGAGCAAGTACAATAAAGGCTCTTCAGTCTAAAAAATCCATGAATAATTCAACAAAAGGAGTATATATTAGTGTCTGGCACAAAAAATAGTTCCCACAATTATCTCAGTAGCTTATTTAATAAAGAAATGGCCATGCATGGTATGGAGATAAGTACACTTAGGGGCTTACTAGTGGCTTAGGGCTGAAGATAGGCACATGTGTTTGGATTGATTTCACTTTCAATCAAATATTCCCTGCGTCCCGGTGGACTTTGCCAAGTGCAAAATATGTGAGAAATAAAAATAGTAAAAAATGTGTGGTTGAAGTTTGTGCAGAGGAGAGAGAAATGTGCAGAACCACAAATTAGTTGCTTTAATAGGAAAGTGCCAAAGTTTTTTGGGACAACAAAAAAGGGAAAGTTAGCAAAGTCCAATGGGACGGAGGGAGTAATTAATTATAATTATATTGAGACGTGCTTGATGTACACGTTTTTTTGTGTACACTTGTCTCAGACAAAATTGTCTGCATACAGGCAACTTTGTGGGGCTCTATAGAGTTGTCTGTATACAGACAACTCTATCTGCGTAAACAGACAGATGTGCCAATGGTGTACACAAAAAATGTTCTTCGTATATTGTTGCCCCAACCAACCATTTTATAAATAATACTACCTCTGTCCCTTAAAACTTTGCCAAGTTTGACGGCACGGAGAATAATAAAGTAAAAACTGTGTGATAGAGGTTTGTGCAGAGGAGAGAGAAATAACAAGAACCACAAAATAGTTGATTAAAAGGGAAAATGACAAAAAAATTTAGACGTCCCAAAAAGGAAAGATGACAAAATTTTAAGTGACGGAGAGAGTACCTAACACTATATCACCACCAAAAGGAAAAGAAAGAAAACAAAGATTAAAAAAAACTATTATAAAAAAGATAATGTAAAACGAGATGAATATACCTAAAAATGATAAAATAAAAAGGATAAAAAAAATGTTTATATATGTAAGGATAAAAGAACAAAAAACAAGAAGAAAAAAGATGAGGGGAAAAATTTCAACGTGTGAGTACTAAATGAATGTTTTGTTTGCTTTTAAACTTTTAGCTTTTAAATTAAACATTTTGAAGCCCAAAGCTCAAACATTGGAAAGGCGTGGTTTACACTATATTTCAATTTGTATGTTCAAAAAAATCATTTTCATCAAACACTCTTATTTTTAATTTTATTAAAACCACTTTACACCAATGTTAAGCATTCTTCAAAAACTAGACGGAAATACAAAAGCCCAAAAGGTTCATTTAACACAAGCCCATATAGAGAGCACAACAACCTCAGTCCATACGAATGGGCCAAACATGGAAAATACCCCGTAAAAACGGACTCCTGTCGTCGCAATAATAATTAGGGCTGGGACTTTGGAAACAAAAATCGGAGACCCGAATCGGACCTAACCGTTATGATCTGGTTCGATTCGGTTCCAACATTTATTAGTTACTTATATTTGTTAAAAGTTCGGTTCCTATTTTTTTTATTAACGCTTCAGTTCTCGATTCCTGAAAGAAATATGTATCATGAACCGTTAAAGAACCGTTGTATCTAATAATTAAAATTATATATATTTCTTATGAGTATATATATTTTAATGTATATTGACTTATTTAATTTTATATTACATTCAATATTTTAGTTTAGTTATTTAACTATTTAAAACTATTATTCACTTCAACCGGTTCTCTTAGGCTTCGTAGGCCTCTCATTAGGTCCAAACTCCAGCGGGTCGGAACTCGGAAGGTCCAAACCATTTAAAATTATTATTGTCTTTAACTAGTTCAACATATTTGTATTGTAATTTCAAACGTTGAATGTCTTTTTGGCAAAAAAATTAGTCGTGATTTGTAAGAATTTTTTCAAAGACTAGGAATCGTTAAATGACAAGAACCGGATTAGGATTTAGTTCCTTATCGGTTCTATAAAATAATTTATACAAAACGAATCATTAGGAAATTTTCATATTTTCAAACGGTTCCATATATTTTGTATCGGAATCGAACCGAACCATTAGCAAATTTTCGTATTTTCAAACGGTTTCATATATTTTCAAACAGCCTGATAATAATAATAATCAACAGAAGGGCCGATTGGAATGTCGCTTATGTCAGCAGCGGTGGCGCCGCCGCGTTTCGCCGTAGTTCGCTCGGCAGTTAGCCGCTCTCGGCGGCGAAGAAACTCCACTAACGCCGATAAGGGAAAACAAATCTCGAACCCAACTGAACATTCGAACTCCGGCATCTCAATTGCAAAGAGTTCATCAGGATTTGGAAGCAGGAAGAATAATCCGGTGTGGAAATGCGTACAGAACTGCGGAGCGTGCTGTAAACTCGATAAAGGCCAAAACTTTCCCTCGCCGGAAGAAATTTTCGATGACCCTTCCGACATTCAGGTCTGGTTTTTGACTACTGTTATTAGTCGCTATGTTTTTGTATGAATGTGAAGTTGATTACAGCCATGGATTAAGTTTATGATTTCAGTTGTATAAAAGTTTGGTGGGTGAAGATGGTTGGTGCATACACTACGAAAAAAGCACAAGAATGTGTTCTATATATGCAGGTCAATTTCTTGCTTTGACTTGGTTTAACGGAGTATTATTCATTTTTACCATTCTTTAGCCATGTTTATGATTTTTATTTTTTCCACTTTTTTTCTTTTTATCGTAGAACGGCCATATTTTTGTCGGGTAGAGCCGGAAATATTTGAGGCATTGTATGGAATTGACAAGAAAAAGTTCAACAAGGAAGCTTGCAGGTCTTTTTACATAAACAATTTCTGCATTGTATTCTCTTTGGTACGGAGTATAATTTAGGTGTTTTTTTCACTCTGCATGAAAATTGATAATACTAGTATTGTTATAATATGGAAGGAAATAAGCAGAAGATCAGGGAGAGAAAGTATAGTCTGAATACTTAGTGAGAAAGATGTTATTAGAAGTGTGATAATGGTGTTTAAGAAGTGTGTTAATTACAATGAGAATGACTCCTATTTATAGGAGAAAGTGTGAGCTCAATGAGATTAGGAGATCATTGTGAGCCACACATTTATCACCTTGAAATCATAATTATGATTTCCTAATTATTTATGTAATGGTGATAATAATTCCTAATCAGGAATAGTTAGAAGATGACTAATTCAATAATATTTCAACACTCCCCCTTGAATGGTCATCTTCTAATTATTCTGGAGTATTAGTTTCATAGTATTATAATGTACTGTCTCGTTAAAAACCTTGTCAGGAAAAAACCCAGTGGGAAAAAAAAAATTCTGACGAAGGGAAAAAGAGTGCAGTGCATTATATTACTCCCCCTCAATTTAACATATATCTCAAAGACGTCACATTCCAATTTTGTGGACCAGTTCTTCAAATTTCTTCGGTGCCAATGACTTTGTGAATAAATCAGCAGGGTTGTCGCAGTACTTTATTTGTCTGGCATCAACCGTTCCGTCTTTTATCAAGATCATGTGTGGAGAAAAGTTATGGTGCTATATGCTTTGTTCTATCCCCTTTGATGTAACATCCTTTGACCTGCGCTATATCTGGCTGACAAATTTATAGAAAAAGCTAGCAATATATAGTCAAGTATTATAATAGCCAAACACATTGATGCTTCAATAGCATTCAAATATATTATTTCACGACCAAGGATTTATTCATCATATCTACTAGGTCAGAAAAATCATCATTCACATTGAGAGATTGAAACATCATTGAAGAATTGAGCGGATGTGTTTTAACTTTTATCCATGTAAAACCGCTTCAAAAGTTTCTCGGTATAATTTGATTGGTGAATAAAAATATCATTTCTCAAATGTTCAATTTGAATGACGAGATAAAATTTTATCCTCAGCTCCCAATACATTTCTTTTCAAATTCTTTCATGAGATATTTTGCAGTATTTTCAATTTCAATGGGAGTTTCAATAATGATTAAATAATCAATAAATACTGCAATTATGGCGAATCCTGATTCGGATCGCTGAATGAAAACACATGGACTAATAGGATCATTTTATATCCTTCTTTAATCAAATATTCACTGAGATGGTTATACCACATGCGTCCAGATTGTTTTAATCCATATAATGACTTTTGCAATTTTAAGGAAAATAAATCTCGAGATTTCGAGCTATAAACATCAGGTATTTTAAAGCCTCCAGGAATTCTCATATATATGTCTGTATCGAGTGAACCGTATAAATATGCGGTCACCACATCCATTAGGCGCATTTGCAGCCTTTCAAAAACAGACATGCCAATTAAAAATCTTAAAGTTGTAGCATCAACTACTGGAGAATACGGCTCATCATAATCGATTCCTGGCATTTGAGAAAAACCTTTGGCAACAAGTCGGGCTTTGTATCTAACGATTTCATTTTTCTCGTTGCGTTTACACAGAAAAACCCATTTAAAACTGACAGGTTTTACGCCTTTTGGCGTATGGACAATTGGTCCAAAAACATTACGCTTTTCTAGCGATTTTAATTCTACTTGAATTGCTTCATTCCATTTTGGCCAATCATTTCTACGACGACATTCGTCAATAGATTTAGGCTCATTGTCATCGTGTTCATTCATTATATCTGTGGCGATGGCATATGAAAATATATCATTAACATCAATATCATTTCTATTCCATTGTATTCCATTAGAAACGTAATTAATTGAAATTTTGAAATTATCGACGTTTCTATCTTTATATGGAATATTTACCTCTTCGAAGGTGATTGTATCCTCTTTTGAGGTTTCATTATTATTGATGTTATCTTCAAAGCCGATATTTTCAAAATGTTCATTTTCTTTTTGAGAAGGTTGAACTTCTTTGGCATCACAAACTACAACTTGCTGTTTAAATTTTCTTGGTTTCGACTCTCATGAACCAAGAGGTCTACCACGTTTTTTACGTATCATAGATTCATTAGCAAGAGTTCTTTCGCTAATCTCCGCAGGAATTTCTATTCGAGAAGGAGCATTCAAAGCTGGAATATGTGACTTTGTCACTTTCTTTGAGTCTGTGAAAACATCATGCAATTGGTTTGCAACATTTTGTAAATGAATAATCTTTTGAATTTCTTGTTCACAAGCATTCGTGCGAGAATCAAGAAAAGATAAATTTGTTGCATTCCAAGTAATATCTTTCGTACGTGGGTCCATTTCTTTAATTTCTCCCCCTAAGGCTGGGAATACTGTCTCATTAAAATGACAGTCATCGAACCGTGCGGTGAATAAGTCACCAGTCATAGGTTCTAGATAATTAATAATTGAGGGAGATTTAAAACCAACATAAATTCTCAGCCTTCTTTGAGGACCCATTTTAGTACGATAAGGTGGAGCAATTGGTACATACACAGAACAACGAAATATTTTTAGGTGTGATATATTTGGTTCTTTACCAGATATTAATTGTAATGGGGAAAATTTATGATATGCAGTTGGCCTAAGCCGAATTAAATTTGCAGCATGCATTATAGCATATCCCCATGCAGATGATGGTAATCTGGATTTCATCAATAATGGTCTAGCAATTAATTGTAATCGCTTAATTAAGGATTCGGCAAGACCATTTTGTGTATGTACATGTGGAACTGGATGTTCCACATCAATCCCAATTGACATGCAATAGTCATTAAAAGATTGGGATGTAAATTCTCCTGCATTATCAGGTCGGATTTTCTTTATCAAATAATCCGGAAATTGTGATCTCAAACGAATAATTTGAGCAAGGAGATTTGCAAATGCAAAATTTCTAGTCGATAAAAGACTGACATGTGACCAACGTGTTGATGCATCAATGAGCACCATAAAATATCGAAACGGTCCACACGGAGGGGTAATTGGCCCACAAATATCTCCTTGAATTCTTTCTAAAAATGCAGGAGATTCAACTCCAATTTTAAATAAAGATGGCCTGATAATTAATTTGCCAAGAGAACAGGCAGTGCACTGAAAATCACTTGATTGCGGAATTTTGACATTATTTAATGAATGTCCAAGTGAATTTTGAATAATTTTGTGCATCATAGTGCTGCCTGGATGACCTAACCGGTCATGCCACAAGATAAAAGAATTGTGGTCATAAATTTTAGATACCACATTTATCTCAATTGGACTGATATATGTATAATACAGTCGAGGAATATGCTGGCATTTTTTCAGAAATGTATTTATTGCCAGATCTATTTGTCGTTAGACATAAATATTCCTTCTGATTTTCAGACATGGTTTCAATATGAAAACCATTTAGACGCATATCTTTAAAGCTCAAAAGATTTCTCCGTGATTTACTGGAGTATAAAGCGTCTTTAATTATTAATTTTGTTCCTTTTGGGAGAATCACACAGGCTATTCCAGAACCTTCAATGAGTTTAGCAACACCTGAGATTGTATTGACATTAGCATCAACTAATGTCATATGAGAAAAATAATCTCTATGTCTCAAAATGGTGTGCGTTGTGGCACTGTCTATTAGACATTGTTCAGAGCCACTTGAAGAAATTTTAGTTAACTCCATATCTTCGAAAAGATAAAAATGAACAAATATTAGTTCAATATTGTAATATAAATTGTACTTCACTTAACAATACATTTAATTGTGCATAAATATTAGTCCAAACATACTCCATATATTACATAACAAGGAGAAGTACTTTATTCTGACTTTTAATAAGAGAAGTAATTTAGCTCACATTTACTTCTTATTAATTTCTACCTCATCATAAAACAATCATGAGTGCCATCATGGTGGGATATTCCCGTTAATTGACAAAAACGTACATAATGACCGTTTGGTTCAAGTTACTGTCATACCAATTGTTAAGGGGCTCATCTTAACAATTAGAGACTTTGCAACTCGATAATCAAAGGTCCTTAAAGTACAAAACTTGTGTTCATAATTTTTCGTTGAAAGATTGTTTTGATGAAAAACCTTGATGAAAGGTTATTATATACTTCGTAGTTTAGTAACTGCATAGCTTTGATGGATAAATTGTTGTCTTGGATTTAACAATATACAACACATCAATCCATTCTCAAGTAATTTTAGTTCATCAGTTTTAAGCAATATTTTAGTCAAAGCGATTGTTTTGAAAAAACAATTCACACACATGAGGTAGAAAAACAACAATAATTGACTTCCTCCCAATTCAAGAGGTATACGTATAATTTATTGTTATCACTTTTATTATGTAGTTCGTATGAACAGATGTAGTACTCTATAGTCAGTATTAAATCTATTTTATTAATAACTACTAATATAGGTACGTACGTATATTAGTACTGAAATAGTGGAAAATTGTCACATATATTCCAATCATGCAGTGTAATCTTATCACATACGGAGTATTTACTATATGTAATATACATATATACTATCGTATAATATACTCGTATGAAATATAAGTAGCTCAATGATATGACTAGTATTGACTAGCCAGGGAAAACCCCATGAATTCATTTATTATAATAAGACAGATATTTGCCATTTCAATTTTCAATTATAGAACTTGGCATAATAATCCCTTTATTAATAATAACAAAATGCAAACCGGAATGTAAATCCAATACGAATGCATGATGAAGTAAAAATCCATGATATATTTATTCCTTTGAGTTGCACTCAAATATTATTATTAAAAGAACATCACTTACTTCTAGTCAGTTAATTGATTTTTGAAATGAGCTTAGCAAAAATTTACGTTTACGGAGCATATGTATTTTATATATTGATGTATGTATGCCAGTATGTCACCGTAAGTTTAATAGTCATGTGCATTAAAAACTTTGGGTGGTCTGTGACTTATACAAAAGTTTTGCAGCTCAATTACTCACTTGATGCATAGACCTTCTATATTAATACGGAGTAGTACTGTAGTATACAAAATTAAATGCATGAATCATTGAATAAAGCCAAATTATTGTGCAGGTGGGCAGCAGGCAGCTACGTACAACGTACCCATGCCGCATTTATTATCATACAACATTCATTTTTTTTTAATAGTATTGCATGTGAAAGAGGGCCATCGATCTCAATAACAAATTTGTGGGGATCCTACTTAAGTTCATACATGAGCTGTATCCACGTACCCACATAGAGAGACCCATTACTACTCTAGTAGCCCTTAAACGGTAGACATATAATGCCTACAAAGTATATAGGAGTACATGCGTATGGTTTTTATCAATTACTCGTACTACGGTATTAGTTCATATCCTTTGATAAATCGGGAAGGGCTCTTCTTCTTTTTAGTTTAGGGATTCAAGTGGCATGAGATAATAAAGAGCAAGGGTTGGAGGAAAAACTAGATACTTCATACTCCATATTTTACAAGGTATGTTTTATTCATTAATCATTTAATCCTTTTTTAATACGAGTAATATTTACAAGTATATAACCAGCAAAGAGTACTGATTTTGAACTCAAGTCCATTGTATTTCAATTATTATTATTATTATTAATTATGAGTATAGTGGAAGATTTACAGTGTTATAGAAGCTCCGTGATTTAAAATGGCCGACAGGTTTATACAAAATGAGCCGGTGGCGCGGTTTCGTATTATTGAGTCTCCTTATACTTTTATGTTTATGATTTTTCTCTGATTATACCTCATAAACATCTTATTATAATATACGAAGGATATATATTCATATTCATATTCTTATCATATATATATACATATATAAATGAGTATATCAGTGATGTAAATTCATCCGGAAGTAAAAATTCAGATGTAAGATCAATATATTTAAAGATAATAGTGATTAAAGGTATGCTAGTTTATCCTTTTCCTTCTTCATATTTCATATTTTAAAGATATTTTCATAAGAGAAAATATAGCTATAATTTTCTGATATGGAGGATCCCAATAATTGGGCAACCATAGAGCATACTTCTTATAGTTTTGAATATATTCAAACATGTTCATACTTCTCAACATCTGATTTTCTTTTCAGATGAATTGATAAATTTCTGAAAATATATACCTGCTGGGAAGATGATGATTTCAAGGATTTGGAGCAAATTCGTGCTGATAACGTGTTATAATATGGAAGGAAATAAGCAGAAGATCAGGGAGAGAAAGTATAGTCTGAATACTTAGTGAGAAAGATGTTATTAGAAGTGTGATAATGGTGTTTAAGAAGTGTGTTAATTACAATGAGAATGACTCCTATTTATAGGAGAAAGTGTGAGCTCAATGAGATTAGGAGATCATTGTGAGCCACACATTTATCACCTTGAAATCATAATTATGATTTCCTAATTATTTATGTAATGGTGATAATAATTCCTAATCAGGAATAGTTAGAAGATGACTAATTCAATAATATTTCAACAAGTATCTCTTTTTCGGCTGCTCTAGATTGTATGGAGACATGGAGTATGCTTTTTGTTTTGTTTGATGTGGTCTAGTTTGAACCTTTTTGGTGGCCAATCTGAAATTATTTTCTTGTCTTGATCCAGTTTTTCTGATTTGGCCCGGTCTGGTTTGATCAGAATCCCTGCTCTAGTTTGATTAGAATGTTTCTACTCTAGTTTGATTTTTTCGAAATGAGAACAAATGATTAAAAAATAAGCTAAAGAGATTAACACCTAAGTTTGCTTTTGTACAATTGCAGTTGCTGCATCGACACGATCAAAGCAGTGCATGGAACAAGCTCCACAGAACTGGACAATTTCAACCTAGCAATACGAAGCTCATCATCAACATAATAGTAAAAAAAGGAGTTTTATGAGTTTTGATTCATTCATGTAATCAGTGTTATGTTGTCGGAATCATAATGTAAATCTTGACATAGACAAGCACTAGACCAACTTCTCTAGTTTGTTTTTTCTATGAAATGGACTGTTTAGTGGTTTCATTAAAATCAAATTTCACTAGACACATGCATTTCAAATACTGCATTTCACCCATACTGGTCAGGTAAAAGACTAATAGGAAACAAGTTTGGTCCAGGTCCAAAACTGGGACCAGGTCCGTCCTTTTCGATCACAAACACCAGATTGAGGCTTAGCCCAACATCCATACTCCTACACGATCATAGTCTCATGACTCTCATCCTTGGAAGTGGTCATCCTAGCATTTAATTTGTAACTTATTAAGCATGAATTGCTTTCATTAAAGGTGTTAATTGTTAAACAACAAAGATGAACTCATGGTTAGTTAGTACGGAGTAAGAGGAAGCTGAACACAGGTATGCGTGTGAGTATGATTTGCATTTTGTGTTTCTATAACGTAAACTGCAATAGTTCTATACAGCAAATGCATGCAGAGACTTCAATTACTAACTTTTGCTCTGTACAAATGAAAGTATGATCATATATCGCTCCCGAGAACAAAAAAATTCTCTGAAGTTAGTGAAAAGTATACATATGATCATATTTATATGACATTGGTGAGGGGCCCTATTCCCAATTCGTCATCCATGTCATCATCCTGTTCTTCAAATAGTTTGAGGAAGCGTGCTTGATCTTGTTGTCTTTTCCTTTTTTGCCAATACCTGTGAGCGATTACCCCTCCAAGAACTACAATCACCGAGGCCAAAGCTACCATGAGAAATACTATTGTCCAACTCATTCCCTTTTGCTCATTTTGGGAATAAGAGTGAACAGGTGCTACAAAAATATATGAGACTAAAAGTTAGGGCCCATTTGGAACAAGGAGAAAGCTAGTGATCATAACTAAGTTTAGGTTGGGACTTGGGAGGATAAAACACCGGTTCAGACCCAATTAAATTTATTTCAGATTTTTATTGAAATTCATCCGATTTGTTATTTTCTAATCTTTAAGGGCTGCAAAAATACTAAAAACATGAATTCATATTTCATTTGCACATTTTAGGTAAAACCTTGCACAAAAAAGTACTCTGTAATTTTCTTTTCCCTGGCATTGCCTAAGAGAAGAATCAATCATACTGGTGGAAGGACAAGGTATGAATAACCTGCGGAACCATTCACCTATGCCTAAAGGTGTATTAACAGATAATTAGTCAGAGGGAGAGAACGGAGAAGAGGAGAAACACCCACCACCTACAAGAGGGACACACTCTGGACACCGAAATGTTGCATTGAACTCTTTCTCCTTGAAATGGGTGTATTTTCCATCAGCACTTGTAAACTCAGATGCACAAAATTCCCACTCATCAAACACATCATCTGATTTTATTGTATCCTCCTCATAGAACCCACACCGCTTGCATTTTTTATCTAAAAGTTGTGTCAATGGCTGCAACATAAATACAATTTCAATAGTCTGTATTATTATTGTTCTAACTTCTGATGATCTTTCCAAGTAAATCCATATGGGGCACAACATGAACACACATAATATGACACTTCAATGAGAAACCTAGGGTGTTGATACATACAAATGTATACTGGTCCAGATGAATAAAGCTATAAATTTTCTTTTCAAGTGTATGTGCAAAACAATCACATATTAACATCTAGGAAGGCCTCTATAGACTATAATGGGTTAATAATTGCATGCTCTTTTATTGGGTGTTAGCAGAAAAGGTTGCTTTCAAACTGGATTTAATCCGAGTGCAAAACACTTGAAATAGTCAACACACCTGAAAATGTTTGCTTATTTCAAGTGTTTTGCTCTTTTGCATCCAAGTGCTTTTGAAAATGAAAATGGTATGATGAATCAGAAGATGTTTACACTTTCCCCAACTCCCAAGTAAAGCTGAAACATAAGGTTTTCACAAACAACATTTGCTGCGGTTCAGACCGTTTTACATATTTCAAGAGAAATGAAGACGTGGTTTAATTGAGAACTCAAAAAAACTCATTAACAAAGTAGAATGGCAGATAACTTTCTTGCAAGCTTACATACCATGTGACAATAGTTACCCAAACTCAGACTCACCTATCAACCAACAACTTAATGTTTGCCTCTGAAGCAGAGGAATCACTTGTTAATGCAAACTTAATAATCTCATTAACATTGCTTAACTTAAAGGAGGGACTGGGCCTCTTTTATGAATTATGATGGAAAAGCTTAGGAACTTGAACATCATGAAACATGGCCAAAATAACAGCTAAACCCTGATAGGCTCTGAAAAGCTCATTTCAAGTCATGATCTACTGTGAACTGTCAGTTGAAAAAAACTAAGAATTACGAAGTACGGAGTATTATATACGGAGAATCTATATACACAAATCATCACACACCTGCCAAGACTCCTCGCCTTTGAAGTCATAGAGAATGCCTTTTATCTTCACATCAGGCAAGATTGTCTTGTTTTCCCCTTTACACTGAAAGTAAACAGTCGGACCGCGACCGAACAGCTCATGAGTCTGGAATATTTGAATTGAATCAAGTGTAACAACTGCCGCTGTTAAAGGTTCTGCAAAGCCATTTAAAAAAAAAAACTTATTCAATACGTTTATCACCGGTTCCTCCATGTGCAGAATTAGAAAGTTCTAACCAATAATGAGACTGAGATTCATAAAACAACGCGATCGAAAACTCTAAGGTGAACAAAGCAATGTCTGGAACCGTTTTTAAGTTACCTGGAATCCAGCTGAGAAGAATCGAACTGCACAAGAGGAGTATTAGACGGCGGATTGTCATAAACCTTTATTCTTCTCTATTTCTGTGGATGATCGACCAGAAGCGATCGAGGATGGGCGGTAATAATCACGTCCTCCCTGCCTGAGCGGAGACGGTTGTGATCGCTTGAGGCTTCGAGAAGTTCTTCGTTTGGCCGTTGCTTCTTCTTTCCCTTTAAATATTTATTTATGCCTTGGACTTGGGCAATTACGGAGTACGGAGTATTATCTTTTGCAGATCATCTGAAGTTCTGAACTATAAGCACTCGTATTTTTCTCAAAGTAACCCCAAAATTTGGTACTTTACTCTTTTTTTTTTTATATCATCAAACACGCCTATATTCATATCAAAAGATTCGAGATCATTACATCAAACAAAGGAAAAATAAAACTGACATCAACTGATACTCCAATAACTACGACTGTAATCCTATGGTGAGACTTTGAGACAGTCACCCCTGAAAGAGCAACACGAATTGCTAACCATGTAGTAGATTTGACGCAGCCAAACTTGTTCCCATAGATCCAAACATACCCAATGACACAAAGAGAGGCAAAAACTCAAACAAACTGTCAAAACCAACAACAAAAAAGGACACAAGAAAACAAATAACAAACAGATAAAAACTACAAGAAAAACGATCACGAACTCTAGCACCTCGTACATATCATGGTGGTGGTTCAGGAGGAGGTCGAACCACGGGTACCATGCTAATTGATCCTCCATGACCTATGGCTACCAACGACCATGCATTAATCCTCCGTCCCTGCAGAACCAAACTCATCCCTACTTCGTGTGACCACAACACCGCCGATCTCCTCCAACGACAACAGCACCGCCGCATCCTCAAGCATTGACCACAGCGCCGATCTCCTCGAGCCATGACAGCAAAACCGCCCAATACAAAAGCCTTCAGCCACACCGCTCGTCCCAAAACTGCTTGCCGTGAAGCATAAGAAACATGCAACAAGTTCGAACCCGAACTCCGCGTCGACACTCCCCAGGCCAGAGAACGCCAATCACCGGATCAGGAAAATTGGCCGAAGCCACCGGAACCCACAACCGAAACGACCGCTGCTCGAAAAACAAGCTCTAGCGGCAGGATGCCCTAGAGAGACAAAACCCCTATTTTTTGCGTAATTAATATTTTAGACATTACTTTACTCTTGTAAAACACATCAATATCTAAATGTTCCAAACAACAATATTATTCAAATTTCATTTGGACAGTTAGAGCTGTCACTCACAGGTTGACCCGTTTAAACCCTTCGGTAGATTAAAGTTGTGATTTTTTAACCTATTTAGTACACAGGTTTTACGAGTCAACGCACACGGGTTGCTGGTTTAAGTGGGTTGGCCCACACGGGTTGAGGATTGGCCCGCAGATCAATACACAAACTATAATTATGACTTTAATTATCTTAAACATTGTTCTTTAACTACCAAAATTATTATAATTACAATTAAAAAAATTACAAACATTGCAAAATAATTATTATTTGTATAATAAATATGCAAATAAATTGCAGAAACATACTCCCTCTGTCCCATTTAAAGGTTCTCGTACACTATTCTCCAGTCAACGTGCATAGATCTTAATCTTTTACTTTATATATCGAAAGTTTATGAAACTTAAATACGTTTTTGCAGGTTTTGTAGCGGTTTTAATATAGTTTCTGAATATGTAAATTTTATTTGCTAAAAATAATTCTATTAATGAGAGGGATCAATTAACTTTATGGTCAGTCAAACATCGTAATCGTGTGGGAACCTTCAAGTGGGACAGAGGCAGTGGCGGACCTAGTAATTACATTTTGGGTGTTCAAAATTACACATTTTCTCTTTAAAATACTATTAAACAAATTATTACTCTAATTCAGATATACATATTCCTATTGTTTTTTATTTTTGGATGTTCATGTGAACACCCTTGCATAAAAGACATCCGCCACTGGACGGAGGAAGTACTACTTTACTATTTAACTATTACTAGTTATGATTTAGTCACTCAAAAGGTTTAAGTACATCTTTCCTTTTATACAATGATTATTTTTGTTACATACTCAGATACCCTGTTATAGTTTTCAAAATTCTCATATAACTAGAACAGAGTGTTTAATATTTTTAGCATAAGTCATTCCAGATAAGTCATTCCAGATAAATATTGCTCATACTGCCTCACTTTCGTAGTGTAATACTCAGTAAAGTGCATGTCGTATAATACTCCAAAAACGATTATCTCCTACGGAGTAATATAATGTACATAGTCATTTCATATACTTCGTAGTTATATTATGTATATCAGTAAAACGACTAAACGACCATAAATATGTGGTTTCCACTCAGGGCCTCTCGATTCAGAAGGCCCAAAATTTTAAATATAGTCTACAAAAAAAAAGTCTACATAATATACAAAATCCTTTTTTATTTGATTAAGGATTCCTATTTTAGTATTTTGTTTTTAAACACAAACATTAAATACTAATGTTAATATGATTAGTTTTTAGTTTTTTAGTTTTACCGATTTTACATACAATGTCACTCTGAGTAAGGACATCCACTTCAGAACTCCTCACACGAACAAATGTATTAAAGGAAAACCGGATCTTATTTTCTTCCAAGGGGAATGACATGTACCAGGGCTGAAATGCAGTAATATCAATAGGTGGCATGAAAGTATCACAGTCAATGTCTGCTTCGATTGCAGTTATATGAATAGCCTCACATTTATTGGCATTAAGGGCCTCCGTGAAATTTTATATGTGACATCCCAGAAAATTAACAGGGGAGAGGAATAAAAGAGTTTATGAGAAGAAAAATATAAACTAATTGCAAACATGTATATGATTCTGAAAATCTCACCACCTCCAATGACAAACACTTTCTCAATCGTATTAACATTAAATACTAATGTTAATACGATTTGTTTTCGCTTTTAGTTTTTTTTTTTTACCGATTTTGGTTGTCCAGGTTCGAAATATGATTATATCTCAATGTCACATTTGATTGTAGTCTTTTTTGGGTTATTCTTAAAGACTGCTTTTTATATTATATTTATTTAATATAAGGCCTATTTTACGTTATTTGCACCGGGTCTCCTAATCTATTGAGCCGGCCCTGTTTCCACTATTTACCATCTTAAAAATAAGAACACTAGCTATGAAACTCTCATATAGAAAAATAGACAATGTTGTCGATGTGCACGGTGCACATGTGGTATGAGTGGTAGTCACATAAATATTAGCAAATAAATTATCTCTCTCCCTATGCCTATAACAATGATTTTATACAAATTTGATAAGTTTTTTCCTGCAATGTCAAAATCTAGACGGTCTCCTTAACATTGTGGAGAAATAGTTACCAAAACTGTATAAAATCATTCAAATAAGGAGAAAAAGAATTTATTTAGTAGTATTTATGTGGTTATCTCTCATGTCACATGTGCACTGTGCACACTGTAGCATTGGAGATGCTCTTAGGTGTTGTTCTGTTCGTTTTATTCTTATTACTTATTGCTTATTCCTATTTTATTCAGATCAGATCAGATCAAATCAAATCATTCAGACCAGATCAGAAAGATTCAGATGAGATCAGATCAGAAAGATTCAGATCAGATCAGATCAGATCAGAAAATTTCAAACATGGTTTATCACTTTTATTATTATAAAATTATAATAGTAATAATAATAATAATTATCATTATTATTATTATGATTATCAATATTATGATTATTATTGAGGTGATTATTATTATTATGATTATGATTATGATTATTATTATTATTATTATTAGTATTACTATTAGTATTAGTATTATTGTTATTACTATTATTATTATTATTATTATTACTATTATTATTACTATTATTATTATTATTATTACTCCATATTATTATAATTATTATTGTTATTATTGTTATTATTATTATTTTTATTATTCTTATTTATTTTTATTATTATTATTATAATTAAAATTATAATTATAGAAATAATTATAATTCAAAATATAATTACAATTATAATTATAGCTATAATTATAATCAGTGTAGTAGGTATAATTTTGTATAACTTTAATTATAATTATAATTATGATTATAATTATAATTAAATATTTTTAGAATTATAACTATAATTAAAAATTATATTTAAATTATATTTATAATTACAATTATAATTATAGTAATTATAATTATAATTAAAGAAATATTCAGATCAGATCAGAAAGATTCAGATCAGATCAGAAGGATTCAGATCAGACCAGATCAGAAAGATTCAGATCAGATCAGATCGGAAAAATTCAGATCAGATCAGAACTTAATAAATTAAGATAAAAAATATTCAGATCAGACGAAGAGAACAGCTTCTTAGAGCCTAGAGGGATGTACTCCATTAATTACATGCATTCTTTTAAAGAAAAACAAGTAGAAAAGTATTGAAAACATAAAGTGTACTTCCTATTTAGTTGTATCATTATCATTTTCACGTTTACCAACACACAAATTGGAAGTTACATTATACTTAATTCTCTAATAGTGAAAAGTAAAAAAATCGGAGTATGAAAATTTGTAACGAGACGAGTTCAATAATGTAGTCAAGTAGATGATGCGAATAATGTAAAATTTCACATTAACGGAAGGATAATATAAATTTAATTAAATCAGAGCATTAGCATTTTTCACAAGCTAACACTGTGACACACGCTACTGTGAAATTGCTGACATTGTGAATGAAAAAGTGGCTCAAATTTGGATTCAAATACTTAGGGAGTGATTAGGATTTAGGCCCCTCCAAACATGAAAAACGCCGCGGCCAAAATTGTGATTAGAAGTTCTCCCGTCCAATTCCTTGCATTCTTAACCCCAGATGCTTCAAAAAAATGACACAAAAAGTTAAGCCATTTATAGCAAGGACTAAGGAGGATGTAATTGTGAGCGAATATAGGGACGAAAGTATTCAGAAATAGTAATTTCTCTAAAGACTAAAAGGAGTAAATGAAACTTAATTGCTCAAATTGAAATAAAGTCTAAATCATTTACAAATAGTACTAAACATGAGTTTCTACCCTGATTACCTCGGGTTCATAATAAAATGTTTTAATTCATAAATCGTAAAATGATAAAATAAAATATTAAATATTTCTAAAATAAAAGGACTAAAAACTGAAAAAAAAAAATAATTAAAAATAGTAAAAACACATAAAACCATAAAAAATATGAATGACCTTCCCACCGCTTCTACCGCCTCCTAGCATCACCACCTCCGGTCAGTGAAAAAAATGTCAAGAAAATGACTAATACAATTTAAGAATGCCAAAATTTTCTTAAAATGTCATCGATTTGGCATTTTTCCGGGTGATCGAAGCTGATGGTGCTGGGGGTGGCAGAAGCAGCACTGTATTTTCTTATGTTTTTTATTTTATTTTTTTAGTTTTTTTTGTTTTTTAAAATTATATCCCCCCTCCCTAATTTTTTACTTCTGTTGTTTAAATTATAATTTTTTATTTTCTAATTTGTTTTATCAATTTTATTAAATATTTATTTTAGTAGAAAAAGCTACAGAGGTATATTTGTCCAAACATACGTAATTAGTCCTAGTTATAGAATTTTAAAACAATGTAGTTCTTTTTTTTATTTTTAGCTACCTTCTACTCGTGGTTAGGTAACTAACCCTATTCACAAATTTTGACTATTGGCTAAGATGAGATCATTTACCGTCATATCTCTTTGCGTTATTATTATGTATTATTATGTATTATTGATTGCATTAGTTCTTGAGTGTTTATATATATTTTTTAATTAGCCGGTGTGTTAATGTGGTAACTGCACATTTATGGTGCAACCATATATTTTCTTGAGTATAGGTTTTTTTTGGCAGAGTATAGATTTGTTATGGTTTATGATTGTAACTTTACCTAGTTTTCATTATTTATTGTTATTCTTTAGCTTCAAAGATATTTGTAATTTGTTTAGATTATGACTAGTCTTAGTTAAAATAGGTCAAAGTCGTCCAAAGGATCAAAAGTGAATCCTAAAAGACTAAGGAAGATGCAAAGGAACAAGAATAAACGAAACAAAGAAAAAATGGATATGCTTGTTCAGGTGTTTGGGAGGGAAGGAGGCACAAGAAAGAAGTAGAGATATGCGGGGCGGAGCCGCGGAAGACAACATTGACACATGTGTTACCACATGGATATTTTTTTTAAAGTACCACATGGATTTAGTAAGTTGTTAACCTAATGTTAACTTGCTAAATCATACGTTTGACCATTCATCATATATAAAGTTCAACGTCTTAATTTTTTTTTATCGTAGTTCAACGTCTTAAATGGTATATAAATGGACTTAAATATGAGTAAAAATATTTTGAAATTTTAAAATAGGACTCATATTTTTATTTTCTAAGTAGGTGTAATATCTGTCAAGTTTGGAAAAAACTTGTCGACTGTCATGTTTAAGCTTGATAATGCCAAACCTTTCAGAAATTACTCATGTTTAGGAAATAAATACATAGATGTCATATTTTGGGGTTTAATTTTTTTTACTCCTATTTAGAGATTTTTTTTTTCTTTTTTAGTTCTATAGTTTGATTGGTTTTTTTGATATGTATGACGAGAGTCTATTTGACAGTTCTTTCTATTTTATTCAACCTCGTCTTATATATACGAAGGATCACGGTACTTAACATAATGTAGATCAAATTAAAATAGGGAAAAGGTGCAAATAGGCCCATGTACTAACCAAAAAAGGTTTTTCAAGAAAATGACAATTCTTGAAAATGACTGCGCTTCTAACTTTGCAGTTATTTTCAAGAATTCATTTCAATGCCTTCCCGATTGAAGTTTTAGCTGAAATTTGATATGAGTAAACTAGACTTGATGAATAAGATGATCAAAAAAATTCATCAAAAAATTCCACCGGGAACCACCCCAAATGACGACGGCCGGATAGAACCTCCTAAATAAGGGCTTATTTGACCTTTTTTGGTTAGTACATGGGTCTATTTGCACCTTTTCCCATTAAAATATCATGCACATTTATAACTCGTCTAACAACATTGAAATGGACTAAACCTGCTGAATTTGTTGAATTTGTGGCTGAAGGTGAATTGGACGAATCTGTTGAACCATGGAGTAATTATATTTATAATAATATATTTATTAATAAAATACGAGTATATATGAAAAGGCGATTTCCATACAGAACCAAAAGTTGCCCTCTAACAAATTCAGAGAGGATTAGAGGAAAGTCCATATACTCTTGCCTATTTTGATACTATTACTAGTACAATCTAACAATTTTTTTAAGGATGTCTTCTTTTGGACTGTTTTTAGTTCCAGACCAGATCAGATTCAAACAGACCAGACCACACTTGGATAATTATAAAATACACTGAGATCAAACGTTTACCAGACCATATCAGACCTGTATGGACCAGACCACACCAGACCAGACCAAATCAGACCAAACCAGCAAATTTCAGTCCAAAAGAAAACATCCTAAAAAATGGAATTTGATATAAAAATCTAACTAATTAGACCTATAAGATTAAAAGATGGGTCAAATACATAAATGGTACCTTAACTATTGGTAATGTTGCACTTTGGTACCTTAACTCTTAAATGAATGAAAATGGTACCTTAACTTTGAGTGGAATTGAGATTTTATTCAAATTTTTGACCAAAAAATCACACGTGGCGGCTAGAATTCTATGCATAAAGTCTACTTCATCTTATTTTTGTCCATATGATCACTATAGAGTGACTCTACACATGGAATTTTGATCGTCATGAAGGATATTTTGGTCGAAAATTTGAATAAAATCTCAATTCGAAACATTTTTATATAATTAAGGTACCGTTTTGATTCATTTAAGAGTTAAGGTACCAAACTGTAATATTAGTAATAGTTAAGGTACCATTTATGCATTTGACCCATTAAAAGATGGATAGTTAAGCAAAATAGTTCCTAAAATGATTTTTTCGCTTTGATTTTACACAGTGAGCACACACTGACACACGGAAGAAAATAAATAAAATGTTGGCTAAACCTGATGAGTTTGTTGAATTATTTGTAGCTGAAGTGGGGGAATAAGCCGGATCCGCTGAATCATGAAATAGTTATATTTGAAACTTATTTCTTGTAATAGAATATAGAAAAGGATATGAACAAAGAAATGCAAATTAAGCCTTGCTAATTTTGATTACAATACAATTTAGCACGAGGAATTAGAAAAAAATGATAAGTAAATGATCAGACTTATAAGGGTAAAAATGGGTTACCAAAAGGCACCTAAGTGAATTTTATTTTGGTTTTCGAGGATTAAAATAAACTCAAGAAAGTAATTATTAAAGGGGTTTCTCTTTTTCGAAAAAAATGACCTAATTCGAAGTAAATATAACTTGATGTTTGGAAGTACGAATATTATGTTTTTTCGTATAACAGAATTAAGTACTGCCATACTTGGAAAAGAATGGTAAATCACCACTGCACTAATAATTCTATATTAATTTATTTTAATACATACAGAAAAGTAGGGAGTATTAGGGGTGGGAAAAACCGAACCGAAACCCGGAAACCGACCCTGGACTGACCCGAATTATGACCCCGGTCCGGGTTTTTTCTTTTTAACCGGCCCGAATTAAAAATACCCGGACCGAACCCGAAATTCCGGGCTCATTAACGGGCCTTAAAATCTATAACCCGGCCCGGACCGAAAAAACCCGAAACAATTAGCTTTAATATAAAATTAATATAATATATGAATATAAATTTATAAATATTCCCTAATATATGATTATAATCACGGTGGATAAAAAATCAACTTTTAGTGAATACAAATATGTTCAATTTGTTTAGCATAATGACCATGAAAATATATTTATAGGAACTCTATTCACATTTTTATCTATAAATTTTATTTTGTAATATTTTTAAGAAACCTATATTATTTATTTATTTATATGCGTCTTAAATAAAATAATAAGATAATTATCTTCTTTGGGTTTGAATTGTTGGTGATTTTGAAGACTAATATTTGTGTTACAATTTGCGTTTTGTATTTTTCATTAATTTTATTTGAAAATAGGTGTTAAAATATAAAAGAACAATGAGATAGTTCACGTTCGGGCTTTACCCGACCCAACCCGAACCCGGACCGAACCCGAGCTACCAAAAACCCGACTCGGACCGAATATGATGGGCTTTGTACTGGTCCCGAATTTTCATAACTCGAGACCTTCCGGATAATTTCCGGGTTTAGCAAAAACCCGACCCAGACCGGACCGATCCCACCCCTAGGAAGTATATAGGATTATAGTAAAGGTCGCTCATTTAAAGCTGTAAAGGTATGCAATAATCGCAGTATTAATGATAGAAGAGGAGAGGAGAAATCAAGTGTACTAACTTGGAGGAAAAGAGGCACACGTCGGGCACGAAAATACCGCGCTGAACTCTGTGGTATTCTCGAAGGGCCAAACTCCAGCGTTACTTGCAAAATTGGAAGCGCATAATTGAAAGGGTGATCCAAAGTTGTCATCTCCAAAGGTGTCCTTATCGTATACCTTACAAGTCTTGCAATCACTCGAATTTGAAAGTTGCGTCACAGTCAGCTGAAACATAAACACCAGAAGATCAGATATTCCTAGCCGCCCTTATAAAAAAAAGGATGACACCTATCCTGGAGGACCCTAACATCAGCTTTAGTCCCCGTACATACAATAATCATATACATTTTTAGCATAGTAATCTTTAATATAATCGCAGTTACTGACATTCGAACTTGAGAGTTACCCCTTGTGACGCCCCTTTATCTACCACAGCTACGCCCACCGGTAGCCGGCCTTACATACCATAAGGCTGCCCGCAATCCTAGATTGAATAGGCTAATTTTAAGCTTTTGACCCTAAAAAGAGATGCAACCCATGTATAAGAGGGTGCTAAGGTGGTTCATTGGCACGGAAGGTGGGGGGATTTGGCACCCCTCATTCACCCTTGTTGACTTAGCTGGAAGAAGGCACACCAGGGAAAATAAGAGGATATGCTCTGGAGATGTGACAGACAGCTAGTAGGTCCCAAGTTAAAAAAAATTATTATTTTAAATGTGTTATAACATTTTGTATTTGTTCTCAATTTTTTATAAAAAATATATCAGAATTCATAATTTTTTACTATCTTTCATTTGACACCAATATTGGATATATAAAGTAAAAAACGAAAGTTTCAACAATACCAGGTTTTCAGAACCAAAGAAAAAAATTAACTCCAAATTTATTTATTTTTACATCGAAATGTTTGGCTTTTCAAATCATAATTATTCACAATGAAAAATGGAAATAAATTGATGTATATTGATAAAAGTAAGACATTAATTATATAGAACTTTATTGAGTAAGAATATTGACGGTGTTGAATTGCTGCAAAAACTGAATTGACTGAGTGAATACGTATAAAGTTAGTGAGAATTTGATTTATTGACGGAACGAGGTTGCGGTTACTCTAACAATTCATTTGCGCAATTCACAACACCTACTATGATGAAAACGGATCCTCTGCCGCAAGTCCAATGATAGAGAGCGGATGAGGAGAGCTTTGGGATGTGTGAAAAATGGATTTGATGCCCAAAATGGCCAGACACCTTTACATGGGGGACCTATGGGGCAAGCGTCCCGCTTCAAAACATAATAGTGGCCGGGTTGCTTCCCCAGCTATACTTGAAGTTGCTAGTGCTCCATATTAAAATGAGTGTTTAATTAGTCTCGTATGTTATAGAAGTTGCTACAAATATTGTCTTGTGAGCCTCTTATAAAAAGAGGCGATACGATTATATAATATCACAATGACGAATGACTAAAAAAATGAATGAATATACGATCAAGAAAAAGTGTATGTCGTGAGGAGATGTGTTAAAGCCACACACTGGTAAATTAAGAAGTAATAAAGTGCTATATTAAGATCTTGGTATACTCTTCATATCAAAATGACCTTTTAGGATGAAACCTAGATACTGATATATCAAAACCAAACCTAAAATTAATAATGTTTTATCTCAAGTATGGTCTAAATTGAACAATTAGGTCCCCTCTATTGAGGCGAAATGAAGCGTTTTCAACTATCATGATAGTATAGAGAACTAGTTTGTGACTCCTTCCATTTTGGATGAGAAAAAATAGAGAGATGTGAGAGGAAAAAAGAAATCGACGGGAAATGTAGACGAATTCTGGGTTTTTTACAAAAATATTACTAAAATAAAACTCATTTACATAAATATGACTATTCATTACTACAACGTAGTGTTGTGGTAACTTAAGTGCAAAACTTGAACATGAATTACTATGATTTCATTACTACTCTAATAACTAATCATATTTTTGTAAACTATCTTTATTTTGGTTTACAAAAAACCAAATTATTTTAAATAAAAAACAAATTGAAAATGATAATAATAAATTATTATAAAGATTTATTATAAATAATACGTTAATATTTAGAGACTAAACTAAAATTTAAAAAGAAATTGAAAATAATAATAAATTAATAAAACATAGTAAAAACCCATAAATTAAAATATAATAAATATGAATGTCTTTCCTACCGCATCTATCGCCTCCCAGCACCACCGCCTTCGATTGGTGAAAAAATCATTTTTGCTCAAAAATGCCATTTTTTTGTTAAAAAAAGTGTCATTTTTCTGAAAGTGTCAAGAAAAATGGCATTTTACTATTTGATAAGTTCAAATTTTTTATTGAAATTGCCATCAGTATGACATTACCAATGCATGTAGACATTGTTTTTCCGGAGATCAGAGTTGATGGTGTTGGGGGTGACAGAGGCGGCGGTGTTTTATTTTGCATTTTTTATTTTTATTTTCTAGTTTTATAAATTCATACTCCGAAATATTTTACCAAATTTTTAATTTTTATTAATTTTATTAAATATTAATTTTAGTCCAAAGAGTACATCGGTATATTTTTCCAAACACGTGTGATTAGTCCTACTAGGAAATTTAAAACAATGTAGTTCTACCTTTTACTCCTACTAGTATATCACCCGTGCGATGCACGGTATGAAATTTTTTTCAAAATAATTATAAATAACTTATAAAAATGTAATATAAAAATGTAACATAGTGATAAACTGATAGCAAATTGTGACCATAGTAAAAATGAGATAATGTGATTCTATAAATAAATCAATAAGTGACAATTGTGTAATAAACTGTAATGTACAATGATAGCGCAACGCAAAATATGCAAAAAACTTAAAAAATTGTACAATTATAAGATCGATTTTTTAAAGAAGATTAAAGGAATGTTTACTATTTTTTCTATCAAGTCCTATCTAGATTAAGGTGTCTACCTATATTAAAATGTCTCTTTGGATTAAGTTGCACGTACTATCTCCGTCCTAATAGAATTTGTACTCTTTAAATTATGTGAGAAATAAGAATAATAAAAAGCGTATGGTTGAAATTTGTGCAGATGAGAGAGAAATAGACAAAATCACAATATAGTTATTTTAATATGAAAGTCGCAAAGTTTTTTGGGACATTAAAAAATGGAAAGTCTGCAAAGTCGAATGGGGCGGAGAGAGTATTTGTTTATGAAGCTTTTTATTTTCTGTGCTGAATATATTGTCTGAATTTCATAAAATAGTCAGTTTAGTATTATTCTTGAGTTGTAAAGCAAATAAAAAAAATCATTTAATCACATAAATTTATTCCATAACTGATTAAAAAATTAACAGAAAATCCTATTAAACGTCTTAATGAAAAGGGGTATTTTATTTTAGTTTAATGATTTTGTCAGTTTTCTGATTGAGAGGCCGTTTGGCAACACTGTTTTTCGACTTATCAGAATTTAGCCAAGTTTTTTGTCCCGCTCGGTGAATTGTCTAATAAGTAAGAAAAAGTAAGGTTAGAATTACTTTTTTGCCTGTATTAGCTGAAGTTGCTGTAGATGACAATTTTAGATATTTTTACGTATATATTTTTCTTTATTTTATTAATAAAATAATTTTTTTTTAAATCAACAAAATCAGCCAATGCAGTCTTTTCAGCCAGAATTTCATAAATTTCAGCAAAATCAATCAAATCAGCCGATTTTTTTTGTGCTACCAAACAGGCTCTGAATGATTGATTTGTACTTTCAATTAAGTTGTAAGTAACATGACTTAATGGTTAAATGATTAAATCACTGTTATAAGTCTACTAAGTCAAAAGTAAACTTGATTAAATGATTAAAGTAAACCACCTCTAAAACTTGATAAGAACTATACTCCGTATGTAACAATTTTCTCTTTGTGTCGTATAGGCTATTCTATTGGTCTTGTTCGCCTAGCAAACTATCCAATCTATATCTGAAAATCAAAATATAAAATTAAAAATGTTAAATTTATATTTAAACCATGAAAATATTAAAAAGAATATTGAAGAAATATATAATTCAAAAGAACACTGAGAAATTTTAGATCTCCCATTTTTAACTCTTTTTTTTCTTTTCTAAATGCTTTCAATTTTTATCATTTTATATTTGCTTAAATGACATGCGATATGAAGTAAGGATGTTTTCTTTTGGACTGAAATTTGCTGGTCCGATCTGATCTGGTAAACCTCTGGTCTCTCTGTATTTTATAATTACAGAAGTCTTGTCTGGTCTGGTCTGGTCTGATCGGGTCTGGGAATGAAAATAGTCCAAAAGAAAACATTCTAAGTAGACTTCCTACCACTTTTTATGAACTTAAATTATATTTTATAAATTTAAAACAAAATCCAAGTATGACTAAAATCTACATGAATAAATATAACACTTACGGAGTATAAATTTAAAACAAAATCCCAGTATGACTAAAATAGACTACATGAATAAAAATGAGATCAAGTTTTTTTTATAAGCATAATGTCGACAAAAATTTTATGGAACTTTATGACTCTAAATCTATCTTTCATTTTAATAGGGAATTTATAGCGGAGGATCCCGCTTGATAAATGAAAGACTGTAATGATGTTACCTGTGCTAGAATTTATACAATTTTGATAGTGGAGGATGCTTGCTATCGTACTCATGCTAATGTAAATTTTGATATAATCATGCCCATTGCCCACAAAAATTATGAATACAATCCCTATGTAAAGCTCATTTTTTAATCCAATACTTTAAGTCTTTAATACTAATGATCATTCCTCATTTTAAAAATATACGAAGTACTCTAGATAGCAAAAATATCAAGCATATCAAGCATATCTGTTACTCAAGTCCATCTAGCTAGGAGATATGTGAAGCCGGAAGCTCATTAGAATTTAAATAATAGAAACAAAAAAGAAAAACTAAAAGAGTCCAGAAAGTCTTCCATATCTATTCCTCACAGCCCTCACCCCTTAGCACCCAATTGCTTCAAAATTTTGGTGTTGGCCGTAGAATTTACCCACAAATGTTCGTGCTGGCCTGCCGTAGATGCCCCTGAGATCCTTCCTTGTCGCGTTAAGCTGCAGGAGAGCAGGTATTGTAGATGAGATCTCCTCCACACTGCCGTTGATGCTCTGCCGTCGCGTGGTAGCCGCAGGCACCTGCGTTAGAATCCCTGCAGTCAACGACGATCTTGGTTGCCTCCTAGAGATCCCTCCGTTGATAGAACCATCACCGCAGATCCCCTTTGGTGCCTGGCCAGTCTCTGCCTCAGATTTGGAACGCAGATTCCCTGGTAAGAACGCGGTGAGGGTGCCGAATTAGATGGGTTCTCCGACCTCTCTGCTATTCTCACTGACGGCGGCCAGATTGGGTCCTCCGTCCCTCAAACCCTCGCCTGGTAGTTGATATTTATATGAAATCTTTTATGTTTGATGAACGTTAATTGGAGGGACATGGGCAGTGAGAGAGTAGTGCATTACCCAAGCCTATCAATTAAATGACGACTTGACAACGCAGCATGGAGCCATAAATTTTTAGAGTTAATTACCCTAGGTATGACTAAAACTCAATGAGTTTACCAATCTATTATCAAACTAGTTTTTTGCTCAAAATAATATTATAATTCTTTATATTTAATTAAAATTCGTAATTAATAATTAATAATTAATTTTTATGGACAATTACACCCTTTTGCTTATACCTATAAAACCCTAACCTCCTACCCATTTTCTACAACCCTAGCTACAACCTCCCAACACCCCACCCTCGTCCAGCCGCCCCACCATCCAGCCGCCGCCGCCGCACGTCATCCAGCCGCCGCCACAAAAGGGTATTGAAGGGAAGCCGTGTTTTTAATAAACTTGTGTGCGGTGAGGCTTCCATTTTGATGCATATTTGAACGACGAAGGTAAACAAGCCAGTAGATTTGATGCTCGAAACCAACGCAATTCAAACAGATCTGCCAATGGCTGAGTCCGGTAAAGGGAAGCCGTGTTTTTCCTCATAATGCTCTTATTCCAAGTCGTCGAGATTCGATTAGAATTTCATGTGCACTAAAACTGTTGCGACAAACACCGAGGAAGAGATTAAGTCCGGGTTCAGTGCTGGTGGACGCTGGTCAAATATTTCGGCAAGCCAGTTGGAGCCGGAGCTCGATAAAAACCTGGGTGTGAGAACTTTGTGAAATTATGAAATTGCCCTATCGTTTTGTTTTGTTACATGCCGTCCACATATGCATTATTAATATATTGAATTTAGTGTATTGCCCATTAAATATGGGCATTGAACACACCATCATTGAACATTTCAATAAATGCTGATTATGGACAATGAATACGTATGGTAATAGACATATTGTACATGGCAGTGAATGAATGCATTAACAAATTTTGTTGTGCATTGATTATGACCGGTATTGCAGTAACACAAAGCGGTGATATCATCATGAAATTTAATAAACTTAATTAAACATAAAATAATAAAATTATTAAATCTAAAAAATAAAAATTAATTTTGACGGAAGTGCAGTGATTATTACCGGATGTGCAGTAAAGACGTGCATTAATTTTGTGCAGTGACGACAATATAAAGTGCAATAATTTTAATTGGACGAAATTAGTGCAAAATGCACATATTTTAAATAAGGGTATTTTTGTCATTAAACATTTAAATATAAACGAATTTTCTATTTGTTTTTGGATTTTTGATCATACAAAGGTAGAAAAACTAGTTAGGTCATAAATTGAGAAACTCATTGAGTTTTAGTCATATCCCGGTAAATTTCCCAAATTTTTAATTTTTTATTGCGTGTAGCATACTCTTTAAAGTTGAACGTAAACTGACAGCCTTCATTAAATGAGATGTACTTTTCACATCAGTGTGCTTTCGCATCAACCATGTGTTAGAGTTGAATTTTCAAAGGAAATACGTACTCCGTATTCAAATAAGATTCTCATTTATTGCCTTCAATATTGGTGAGCTGTACTTTTACGTCAGTCGAGCTAGCAGACCAGTTAGTATGACCCGACCCACGGCTAATCTGGTGGTTTAGGCGGGAAGTTTGGCCGAAAACCCACCTCTTTTTATATAGAGGTAGATTTAGGTAATTTAAAATAATGTAGTCCTACCTTTTACTCCTATTTTTTGCTACCTTTTACTCCTATTTAGCTAATTTAAAATAATGTATTCCTACTTTTTAGTCCGATTGGACTTTACACTTGAGTGGTTCTGGCCTTCTAGGGAGGGTAAGGGTTTGTGACTTTGTATGATGTACTTCAAGTATGATTGTTTGTATGTTTGTTTTGGTTTCTAATTCTTAATTTTTTCCCTTTTTCGTCTCTAACTATATATGCATGTATGTATGAGTACATTGAGTAGTATTCCTGTTCGGCCAGGCCAGCCAGGAGGGTGGTCCAGCCACCTCAAATCGAGGTGGCCGGACGGGATCCTGTCCGGTCCGGCCAGACGGGATCCTGTCCGGTCCGGCCGGACATGAATAATTGTGCATATATATAGGACAATTCATGTCCAGCCGGTCTGACGGGAACCGCCATCCGGCCGAGGGCATTTCAGGCATTTTCCGGTGGAATATTTTGATATTTTTTTTTGAGTTGTTCTTCGTCAAGTGTAGTTTATTCATACTAAATTTCACCTAAAAAATTGGGTGGATATTTGAAAATTTGGAACTGAGTGCATGACAAATAACTTAGAGCATGTTTGGTAACGCTGAAATCGGCTGATTCTGCTTAAATCTATGAAATTCTGGCTTAAGTGTCTGTATTGGTTGATTATGCTGGTTTATGAAAAAATTATTTTTAAAATATATTCTATTAATAAAATAAAGAAAAAATTATATGTAAAAATAGCTAAAATCGTCATCTATAGTAACTTCAGCCAATACAGCCAAAAAAGTAACACCAAGCTTACTTATTCTGCTTATTACAAAATTCAGTGCGCGAAATAAAAAATTACGTGTTTGGTGAAAAAGCTGGCTGATAAGCCGAAAAAGGAGGTCACCAAACGGGCTCTTACTTTTTATTATTATTACACATTCAACACGCGAAATCAAAAATTACGTGTTTAGTGAAAACGTTGGTTGATAAGTAAGCCTGATAAGTTGAATAACAGTGGTACCAAACAGACTCTTAGTGTAATTAATTACTACGCACCTGTGTGAAGTTATTATACGTCACGTTTATCTTGACAACACTACTGAGACTTGTCGGACTTTGATCCCCTTCACATTTAAAGTAAACCTCAGGATCATCAGTAACAACGGGATTATCCGGCTCATGAGTCTGGAATATTTCAATTGATTGTAGTGTGACATTTGCCGCCGGTTCTGCAAATTAAATAAATTAATGAAGCCGTGTATTAAAATCCTACATGTAGTGAGTGAGTGAAAAAATCGAATCAAACGGCAAGATAGTTTGAGATTCAAACGTGATAAAATTAAACATAATCATAAAAACTAAAATTACTTTACTGGTTTAAATCACACCAAAGTATTGAAAAATATAATTGCTGTCATATTTCAGGAATCGTCAACCGTTTTAGGCATACTCCTAGCTATTTTTACTGGTGTTCCAAATTGTTTATCTCATCCATATAAATAAAAAGAAATTGCTCCAAATAAGAGTTAAACTATTTCTAAATTCTAAAATGAGATTCTAATATTTTTATTATCTAAATATGAGTAATTACTATCATGTTTTGGCATTATCATACTTCAAACCTGATAATATCTTCTAAACTTAATAATGATGACTTGGAATTCCTATTTTGAAATTTCAAAACATTTTTACTCCTATTTCAAGAATTTAATTTCCCATATAACTACGGTCTTAAGCTACATAAAAGTGTGCTAGGGCAATCAATATGTAAGGGAGTGAATTTAATTAGTTACCTGCAGGAACCCAGCTGAGAAGGATGGAACTATACCAGAGGAGTATGAAGACGATGCGAAGTTTTAATCGTACCACTCCACCAAGGGTTGCCATTGGCCTCTAGTAGCCCAAGTTTTGATCTTACTACTCCACCAAGGGTTAATTATTATCCCTTGAAATTAGTAGCACAATTTTCTTCAAATAAATGTGGCCGAACATAAAGTCAAAAGGTGTGGCCATAAATTTGGGTAATTGTCAAAAGTAAATTACTTGGTAAATCCTATTTGTATCTTTTAAAGTAGGGTAATGTAAATCCTATTTGTGAAAGTTTCTTTTAAGGCCGGCCAAATTTATGGGGTCACAACTCACAAGGTTATTAATTTTCTCTCTCTCTTAAGTTTATAATGGGTGTTTGACACCTTAACGCCCAATGACTAGTCAAACTCGAACCCATAATTAATACTTCTCGAAATAAAACCAATAACAAGATGGTCTTATTTTTTGATTTGATCGTTCTGGTAGATGTTTGGTGTATGATGTTTATATTCACTCAATCCAACTCGAACCCATAATTAATACTTCTAGGAAATAAAACTAATAGTATGATGGTCCTATTTTTTGATTTGTTTTTGCTCTCTCAATTCTACCAACCATTCCTTCTTTTTTCTAATTATATTTATTCCTACGTCTGGCATTCTAGTTTGGATTTCAAAAATTATGTTTGTTGTTTGAATTATGTTTCTCGTTTTATCTAGTTGTATTCTATGAAGCATAAGGATGAAGTTGTGAAATAATGGGAAAGAGGTACTCCAATAGGAGTCCTGACAGATATATTTATAATAGTGGAGTTGCCAAAATACAAAGTATTCCTAAATAGATATTAGACAGATTACTAAATATATATTAGGCAGATTCCTAAATATATTAGTCTATTACACCCCCTCAAACTGTGCGGGAGATACAACGCGCAGGTTGTCTTTTAAAAAATGAAATTGCAAACTAAAAAAAACTCTTAGTAAATATATCCGTGAGCGGAAGATTAGAAGGCACATTTTTGATAATATGATCTCCATGAGAATATATGTCTGCAGCAGCAAGCGCCGAACTCAACAGCGCGCTTGAAGCAAGCACCGTGGTCAGCGACGCAGAGAAGGTGGGCTGCGCGGACATAGACAGCAGCAGACGGCGAACTCAACGGCACGCTGGAAGCAAACACCGTGTTCAGCGACGCGAAGGAGGTGATCTGCGCCATATTAGCCGCACTCATCTTCAAAGGATCGAAGACTACCGTAAATGTGGCGGCAGTCGACCCCGAGGCGGCGGCGGCTATAATAAGGTTCATGGGAACCGAAAAAAAAAAGAGAAAAAAATGTGTCTAAAAACCTAAGCTCTTGATACCATGTGAAATAATGGGAAAGAGGTACTCCAATAGGAGTCCTGACAGATATATTGATAATAGTGGAGTTGCCAAAATACAAAGTATTCCTAAATAGATATTAGACAGATTACTAAATATATATTAGGAAGAAAGGAAGGATGTTTTCCAAGTATTCAACAAGGCTGGACATTCCACCGAATCTGTACAAGCTCGACTCCATTAAGGCAGAGATGAAGAATGGGGTGTTGAAGGTAGCTGTTCCGAAGGTGAAGCAGGAAGAAAGGAAGGATGTTTTCCAAGTATTCCTAAATAGATATTAGACAGATTACTAAATATATTAGTCTATTAGAAGTGTTTTCTCATTTTAAACATTTTATATTTATGATAGATTTCAATGTGATGGGAACGGGGTTGATAATATTGGTGATGGAGTATATTGACTTCACTGTTAATATTGGAATCTCCCATTAACAGCTAAGGGTCATCGGAGACACGAGACAACGGTTTTGACTTGTTCCCATGATTCATGCCTTCTAGAGTTCTAGTGCGGTTTGGGTACCATTGTATCCCATGAGTCGCCATTGGGGTTCATCAGCTTCTATTTTTACCAAACAATCAATGTAGTTATGTTCATACCTTGTAATCGTGAGCTCCACTTCTTCTCGCCATACCACACACAATCTCATACTTTGCCTGCAGTTAGTATCCACAACGTTGCATCCATAAGAATCTAATTGCATATCAATTGCCTCACATTGATCTCTAAATGTCCTTGTCTCCATAATAAGAAATAGTAATCATGGTCGATTTGTATGCACGAGATCGACGAGGACCTGCACCATTGCTAAATTGGCTAAGCCACAACAATTCCAACTAACCACTGCCATAACTTTGCCCTGCTAGCATTCCCCTTACCTAAACAGGAACGCCACTGAGGCTTTGTTTGCAATCACTTGTGTTTAAATAAAAGCACTTTTTGGGAAAAAAGTGATTAGTAGTAAAAGTTGGTAGTGTTTGGTAAAATAAGTGTTTTTTGTGTAATAGAAAAAGTAAAAAGTAGATTCTACACGAAAACCGAGATAGTAAAAGTTGGTAGTGTTTTGTAAAATAAGTGTTTTTTTCTTTTAAAAAAAACCAAAAACACTTATTAACAGAGATTGCAAACAGAGCCTAAGGGACTCGGCGTCCTTGTCCGCCAAAGCTACACTAGATACCGCTAGGTCGTCTCCTTACCCTTTAGATGACTTATTGTAATTAATCGCTTGAAAAATGGTTGGGGCGAATGATTTTCGAATTACACAAAACTTTTACGGAGTACTTTTGATCATCATACATTATTCCTATGTTGTAAAGTGTTATGAATGTGGGAAAATGGACATTTGAAAGAAAATGTCATCTCTTGAACTTCAGAATAGTATTTGGAAGAAGAGAAAAGTCAATTCAGTTTATTCATCAAAGAAGATGTATTACAGAGAGGTCTCTCGAATAGGAATGAATGAAGCAAATATATACAGTATCTTTGTTAACAACCTCCAACCGACTAAAGGTAATGACCAATAGAAATATCTGGAAGTTGCGTGTAAGCTAAGCTGACTAATTAGTTGACTAGGACTAATTAGCTAACTATACTTCACATCCCCCTTCAAGTTGGACTTGGTTGTGATAAACTAGTCCTAACTTGGAAGCAAATTTTTCATGATGTTTGATTCCCAGGGCTTTAGTCAGTACATCTGCAATCTGAGAACCAGTGTGAATGTAATGTGGTTTCAAGAGTCCTTCCTGGAATCTTTCTCTGATGTAATGACAATCAATGCGTAGGTGCTTTGTTTTCTCATGAAAAACAGGATTTTCAACAATGTGTTGAGCAGACATGTTATCACAGTACAATGGAATAGGTTTGGGAATCTTGATGTTGAATTCTGCTAGTAATCCATCAATCCAAACAACTTCAGAAGCAGTGTAACTCATGCTCCTATATTCGGATTCTGTAGTGGATTTGCTAACAGTCTTTTGCTTTTTTGTTTTCCAGGATATGAGAGACTTTCCTAGAAATATGCAGTAACCTGATAGTGATCTTCCAGTCATGAAACAAGATCCCCAATCCGCATCACAATATGCTGATAGTTCAAAGGATGATTCAGCTGGATAAAATAATCCAAGATTTGCAGTGTGTTTCAGATACCTAACAAGGAAAAGAGCAGCCTGCATATGAGCCACTTTGGGTTCATTTAAGAACTGGTTAAGTTGCTGGACTGTATAAGAGATGTCTGGCCGTGTCAAGTTGAGATATAACAATCTTCCTATTAGTCTTCTGTATTGTTCTGGCTCAGCAAATAATTCACCCCTTTCTGCTGAGAGTTTTAGGCCTGTAGGCATAGGAAACAAGGCCGGTTTGCAGTCCACCATGTTAGTGTCATGTAATATATCCAGAATGTATTTTCTCTGGTTGAGAATAATTCCTTTGTTGTTTCTTGCTACTTCTATTCCTAGAAAATAGCGCAGATGACCCAAATCCTTTATAGTGAAGGCTTTATTTAGGGCATCTTTAACTTCTGTAATTTGTTTTTCTGAATTGCCTGTGATCAATAAATCATCTACATATGCAAGAACCAATGTAAATGTTGTACCGGTTCTCTTAATGAACAAAGAGTAGTCTTGTTTGGATTGATGAAAACCAAGGTTGGTTAGGAACTTAGTAAGTTCAAGATTCCATTGTCTTGAAGCCTGTTTCAGTCCATATAAAGACCTTTTGAGTTTACAAACTTGTCCTGGTTTAGCACAATGATAACCTTCTGGAATTTGCATATAAACCTCTTCATCAATGAATCCATGCAAAAACGCATTATTAATGTCTAACTGATGTAAATTCCAGCCTTGAGATGCTGCAAAAGCAATTAGAATTCTCACTGTGGTAAATTTTGCAACAGGACTGAATGTGTGCTTGAAATCCTTTCCTTTAATCTGATTATAACCTTTGGCTACTAATCTAGCCTTGAAACGTTCAATGGTTCCATCAGGTTTGAACTTTATCTTATAAACCCATTTAGCACCAATTGCTTTCTTATCAGCTGGCAGATAAGTAAGTTCCCAGGTTTGATTTCTTTCAAGAGCATCCAGCTCTTGTTGCATTGCTTTCACCCACCTCTGATCTTCTTTAGCCTGGTTGTAAGAAACTGGTTCATGTTCGGATAGTACATTAGCTAATGATGCTATATAATCAGCTCCATAACCTTCCAAAGAAGAGCAGATTGCATTTGCAAAATATTCAGTGGTAGAGCAGTTTGCTGAATCTGATATTAATATGGATTTTGGAATATCCTTGCATATGTAATCTTGTAGTTTCTGAGAAATTATCCTTGTTCTGGTTGATCTTCTCTGAGGAATTGAACTCACAGGTATTTGTTGATCATTAGGAATATTTTCTGAAGATTCGTGTTCATGCCCATGCATATGTTCTGGTGGACTTGAATTGTGAGATGAAATGTTATTCTCAGTGTATATTCCTGAAGGTATAATGGATGGGTAGTCATTTGTGGGATTCAGTAGTTTATCCTTTTTAAAAGGGAATATAGTCTCATGAAAAATCACATCCCTACTGAGTATGATTCTTTTGGATTCAAGATCATACACCTTATATCCTTTTTGTCCAAAAGGATAGCCAATCATGACACCTCGGATTGCCCTTGCTTCCAATTTATCAGAAGTTTTTATGGCTGCATAGCATAAACAACCAAACACTTTAAGGTGTTCATAATCAGGTTTTTGTTTAAGCAAGATTTCATGAGGTGTTTTCCAGTTGATGACTGATGATGGCATAAGGTTGATTAGATGTGTTGCTGTGAGTAAACATCCTCCCCAGAACCTTTTTGGTATATTAGCTTGAATTCTTATTGCCCTTGCTGTTTCTAGTAGATGGCGATGTTTCCTTTCCACTCTACCATTTTGTTGAGGAGTGTTAGGAATACTTTTTTGATGAATAATCCATTTCTCATTAAAGAGTTTGAGGCATGCTGATTGAACTATTTCAGTCCCATTATCAGATCTAATCATCCTTATCTTTTGGTCCAAATTTGTTTCAACATAAACAATGAAACCATGAATGATGTTGGGTACTTCAGTTTTGTCCCTTATCAGATAAGTCCATGTGTTTCTACTACAATCATCAAGTATTGTTAAGAAATAAGAAGCACCAGTCATAGATTTCATTCTGTAGGGTCCCCATAAGTCTATATGAACAAGATCAAATATCCTGGAAGCATTAGATTCACTTCTTTCAAAAGGCATTCTATGATGTTTTGCCAAAATACAAACTTCACAAGACAGGTTGTTAACATCTATAACATCTTCTGCAACACAAAGATGTTTTAGCTTTGATAAAGATGTATGTCCTAACCTGTTGTGGAAAAGCAATACATGATCAGGAATATGGCAAGATTTATTTACTATACATTCTGTTGCCATAATATTGTGTTTATTGCTAGAAACTATAGAAGTAGGAATGGCTTTATTCATCTCATCCTTGACTTCAAATATGTAGAGTCCAGATTTCTTCCTTCCAAGCATTATCCGTTTTTCAGTAGAAGGGTCCTGAACATAACACCCATAGTTATCAAAACATGTCATCAAACCAGTATTCTGCAGCAATTTCCCTATGGATAATAGGTTATGTTGAAATTCAGGGACAAACATTACATCCTTTAGAAAAATTTTCTCAGAGAGCTGCACTTCACCAATAATTCCAACCTTTTTTATATTGCCATCAGGTAAGGCAATACTAATAGGATCAGTTAGATGTCTTTTATTGATCAGAATATCCAAGTCATAAGTCATATGGTCAGATGCACCTGAATCAATTATCCAATTCTTTGCTTTGACATATCTTCTATTTTCATTAACATGGGAAGCATAGATCATACCTGCCATGCTGAAACTTGCAGAAGCTTGTCTCATGTTTGCATTAGATAGATTCTTATGCTTCAGATAGTCTTGGATGATATCCACATCCATTTGATCAAGCAACTTCACTTGTGAATCCATCTCCTCGTCTAAAGGTGTATTATCATAATTGTGTGCATTTTCTGTATTTTTGGAATTTCCATCACGACCTGTGCTGCCAGCAAATTTCTTCTCATTTGAGTTTCTTGAATTTTTCTTTCCTTTTGAACCTTTGTACCAGTCTGGATAGCCTTTAATCTCAAAGCAGTCTTTCATCAAGTGACCAGTCTTGTTACAATGAACACACAAGAGTGACTGTTTCTCCAATTTTGATTTCAGATAATCAGCCTTGTTCATGGTCTTATAGTCTGAGTTAATACTCTGAATGTTTGGAACTTGATTGTATTTGTTCGCAGCCATTGCCATACCTCCTGAAACATCACAATCCTGGTTGCTGATGAACTTTTGCATCTCAACTTGCTGTATTCGAAAAAAAGCTTGATTCACAGTTGGTAAAGGATCCACACCAAGTATTTGATTCCATAATGGCTCATAATGATTGTCCAGCCCCATTAAGAACTCCATGAGTTTGTTCCTGTTGTCTTTCTCAATAATTTGTTTCAGAAGTTCACATGTACATGAATTCACAGCACCACACTCACACATTGGAAGTCCATCTAATGTTTGAATATCCTCCCAGACCGATTTCAATCTACCAAAATATTCAGCAATTGTTCCTCCTTCTTGTTTTATTTGACTTAAATCCTTTTTTAATTGGTAAAGGTAGGGAGCGTTTGTCTGACAATACCTCTCTTTGATTTCTTCCCACAATTGTTTTGAAGAAGTCACATACATCATAGTTCGAGCGATTGTTGGAGTCATTGAATGAAGAAGCCAGCTCATGACCGTGTAATCAACTCTGATCCATTCCTGGAAATTGTCAGAGTTTTCATTTGGCCTTTTGAACTTTCCGTTCACAAACACGAGCTTGTTCTTCGAAATTAGAGCCATTTTAACGCCTCTCGACCAGTTTAGGTAATTGTTTCCATTGAACAATTCATTCGTGAGCACTAGATTCGAATGATCATTGGATGCCAGAAATAATGGATCCTTATACGATCCGGCTGAATTCATCGTGCTCATTGTAGAACTTTCCTCAATCGGCATTTTGACAATGAAATTAGGTAAGAATTGTTACTCGATCATTCCTAAGCTCTGATACCATCTTGAACTTCAGAATAGTATTTGGAAGAAGAGAAAAGTCAATTCAGTTTATTCATCAAAGAAGATGTATTACAGAGAGGTCTCTCGAATAGGAATGAATGAAGCAAATATATACAGTATCTTTGTTAACAACCTCCAACCGACTAAAGGTAATGACCAATAGAAATATCTGGAAGTTGCGTGTAAGCTAAGCTGACTAATTAGTTGACTAGGACTAATTAGCTAACTACACATCATCCATGTAGTCTTTGAACAATAAACAAATTTTCGATTTTCATGTACAAAGCGCATATCTATCCCAATCCTCTTTTCATTTGCTTTTCTTTTCATTCTCAATTTGTTCATGATTTCTTGGCCTATGTTTATGGAGAAAAGATGCTAGTTGTGGTTGCATATCTGAATATAGCCTATAAAAGTGACTTTCTTTCCACTTCCCTTTTCTGTTACTTTTTGATATGTTGTCAAAACTCAAAACCAAATCACACAAAAATCTGGACAAGTGATTGGGTCAAGACGCTACTCGAATAGTCATCCCAATCGATTAACCCGACCATATATACGTGTAGTTGTCTAAAGAAAAATTATAAATATGCACGATTATATATAATTTTAAAATGTAAAAGAAAAAATAATGTGATTTTGAGTATTATGTTTTTACCTAAATATGAATAATGTGGTTGTTCATGCTTAGACAACCATATTAATTTATGGCTCTGTCAAAATACGTCAACATGATTTCACAATGTGAGAACTTTACTCCTATTCATAAAGAAATGCTATAGTCCTGTTTTGGGAAATTTGTCAAATAAATATGCTAGTTCTATGCTTTAATGTATTTTCCAAAATATTATTTGATCGAATCGGGGTTAACGAAAATGTCAAACCAAATGGCGACTTACAAATCCACCAACCAATTTAGCAACATTCCTTTCAAAATTATTTTTGGGAATCTCTGCATGAGAGAAAGAAAGAAGCAGACACCCGTGGTAAAAAAATCTCCTTTTTCATAAGGTGTCATAGCTGTTATATTTTTTCTATAATTCTAACAACAAATACATCAAAATTCATAACTTTTATAATTTTTCATAATACATCAATATTGTATATATAATTTTTTTTTTTGAAAAAAACTAAACCAGATCTCAACCAGTTTATACTAAAAAATTGTATTCACCCTCTAAATTATATTTTTTCTAGCAATCCAACACTACCAATATATTTACCAAGCATAATTTTTAATGAAATCCTTACTTTTATTATTATACATCAACTTTTTATAAATAATTATGATTTCAAAATTTAATCATTCCAATGTAAGAAAAATAAATTTGGCGTTTAATTTTTTTTGTTGCTTCATATATATTTTGGAGAATATAATAGAACGATGTAAAACTAATCACAAGATCTTAAATTTAGCAGTTGGGTCTATTTATGAAAACTTCGAGACTAGAAACTAACAACTAGATCTTCGTATTTTTTAAACTTTACATATGAAATATTGGTGTCAGGACCATATACTTCATCACTTATCGCTGTGTACTGTCTCGAGTTCCAATGTTCCATAACTTGTCATTTACATTAAAACAAATTTAACAACATTTTTTATAATATAATTTTAAAATACATTAGTGAATAAGACATAATTAAAAATAGAGTATATGAATACTGTGAAAGTCAAATTATTGCAAATAAAAAGAGATAATATTAATTCTTTTAGTTGAAGCAACTTTACTCTTGATTTAATTGAAAATTAACTTCTAGGGAATAAAAGTGAACAAAGGATAATAAGATATTTGAAAATCCACATATTTTATGTATACAAAAGACATACAGAGTATCTCATATGAATTGACACTTTTTATATTTTTGCATAGATAAATATGTTCCCTATACAATCCAATATAACGTGCTAGTATAAGTGGAGTCGGAGATGATTGAGTTCAACAATATATATTAGTATTACTTTTATGTATTGTAAGTCTAAAGAATTTCATTTTTCTCTTCTCTTTATTCATCCTAGCAAAGCTTTTCTTTCGCTTTATTTCCCTAAGGCATGCACCGTTTACTCCTACTTGCTATACTCTTAACCGTTTACATTGCCTAGATTTTCTTGCTCGATGCTCGCTCTTATTGATATGCGTTGTTTGATCCTTACTACTCTGACTTTGAACAGCCTCTCTGGAGCCCCCTTGTTTGTCAATGAGACCCGTGAGCAAATAATAGGCAGGCAGCCTATTATATCAGCATGCTTCTCCTTCGTGAAATGTAGTTTGCCTAAACCAGTGAGCAGTGCGTCTCCTCCTTCTGTTCCTTTGTGCGATAGGTTCCTTTGAGGAGTGAGAGTGAGAGAGTAAACATGGTGAGATGGAGTGGTCTACCCCAGTGTGGTGTGTGTGAGTCTAGCATAGAGGTTGGAGAACTGAGTCGGAGACGTCCCAACGGTGACGTCAGAGTCGAAGTTCGCCGTCATCCGCCACCGCCATCTGTCCGCCATCCACCGCCGCCATCTTCTCTTTGTGTTGTTATGATGAAACCCCAATCTTTACAGAATTTCACAAATTTTGATTCTAATTGTTTTAAAAAACAAATACGAAGTACTACGTATTATAGCGACACAAATTCACGGATAACTCAGTTGATTGAATGGTGTAAGTTGGAAGAATGATTAGAGATTGAAAATTGCAGCGACTTGACAGAGGTTATAACTCATGCGTGTTGAACTGAATTTCTTATGCACATGTCGCACAATACGAAATATACCATTGTTGAAATTATTGAACCAACATGATAGGGGTGGTTTGCAACAGCTAAAAAAAGCACTTCTTAGTTTTTGGCTTAAAAACACTTATTTACCAAGCATTACCAATTTTTACTTTTCTTGGCTTTCATGTGAAAAGTTTTTTCCCCTTTTTATTACACCAAAAGCATTTATTTTACCAAACACTACCAACTTTTACTTTTCAAAAGGGAAACTGTCAAATAGGTCCTCGAACTTTCATAAAAAAGTCAATTAAGTCCTATGGGAGACTCTGTCCGGTATTCGCGATTTGGGGTGGTTTCCGGTGGAATTTTTTGATGAATTTTTTTGAGCAACTTATTCATCAAGTCTAGTTTACTCATATCAAATTTCAGCTAAAAATTTAATCGGGAGCGCATTCAAATTAATTCGAGAATGCAAAAATGCGCAGTTATCTTCAAGAATTAATTTGAATGTGTTCCCGATGGAATTTTTAGCTGAACTTTGCTATGAGTAAACTAGACTTGGTGAATAATATACTCAAAAAATTTCATCAAAAAATTCCACCGGGAATTGCCCCAAATCGCGACGACCGGACAGAACCTCCTATAGAAGGACTTAATTGACCTTTTTATGAAAGTTCGAGGACCTATTTGATAGTTTTCCCTTTTCAAAATCACTTTTTTTCAAACACTATCAACTTTTACTACTAATCACTTTTACTACTAATCACTTTTTCCAAATTACTGCAGCCGTAGTGGATTGGTGATGGAAGCCCGAACCAACGTCTCGCCAGTAGCCACTCCCGTCCCTGTTTCTTAGACGCTTCAGCCTTCTGCGGTCCCAAATCCTCCAATCTTCCAGCCGAAAAAATGATGAGCCTTCTCAGAGTCTCTGCGAGATCAAGTCGTCCGATCCAGGCAATCTTGAGGAATCAAGGGCTTTCCTTGCCCCGCTTCAACACTTCCAGACTGTTCACCACGGAAGATCAGACTCCGCCACCAGCACCACCGCAGCTACCGCAACGTGGGAACTTTCCTCCCAGACCGATACCCAATTATGAACCTAATGGTAGTTTCTAATCTATCGTTTTCCAACTTCTTCATTGTATGTATCTCTCAACACACTGCGTGGTATGAGGTTAGGGTCTATGGAAATTGTTTTTAGGTGTGATTTGGTGTGCATTTCATATATGCAGCTGCTTTTTTGCATTTGGTGTGCTACAATTTCCTTCTTTCTTGAGTTTCATATTAGAAATGGTCGCAAATTGTCTACCATTTCTAATGGTTTTAACTATATCTGTTGAAATGCTTCTCCTTACCAAATGCAGTATAGTACTTTAAGCAGTTTATGAATTTCAATTGACTTTCATTTTCAATTCACTGTGAAATCTTGAACATATTATGATTGCCCACCAATTCCATTGAAGCTTCTGGATCTCTTTTGCTCTCTCTGTCTGCAGGTAAAGTGTATGGGAGGATAAATTTGCTTGGCAGGTATACAACAAAGACTGATATTATAACTATGATGGGAGACTCTAATTTGACGCCGGAAGATATCAAGATTGATTACCTCCCAAACTTCAGTGGCAATTCAGCGTAGTGTCTTATTGCGACTTCTATTTGAATTTTCCAGTGTTCCATTCAGTTGAAACTCCACACTTTTCAAACAACTATTATCTTTTTCTTTTTTGCAATATACGAAGTATGAAAGTCTGTCTTTAGAGAATATCCTGAACAAACATTAGTTTGTTTGGCATTTTTTCTGGTTTATAAATTTTGGCATGATAGAAACTGGCATCATACTGTCAAGATATCGGATACATTCTGGAAATTAAATTAGGAAAAATTGAAAATAATAATCCCAACTATTGCCGGTCCGCTAACAATAATCCCAACTATTGATTATTTTTGTATAATCCCAACTATATGGACCATCCGCCAATAATGGTCCATGACCAAATATTACCTTTTATAAAAGTGAATTTTAAATAGAAATTAAGCGTAAAAATTAAAAGTTGGGATTATTTATAGAGATTATTTGTTATATCTCTTCTCATCCACTTTAGAAAGTACATGAATTTATTTACATGGACTGTTATTGGCGGAAGGACCCTAAAGTTGGGATTATTCTGAAATAATGGATAGTTGGGATTATTATAAGCGGACCGCCAATAGTTGGGATTAATACAATCAATTTTTCCATTAAATTAATAAATAAATACTAAAACCAATATAAAATACTTTAAAACATCAGATAGTTTTTTTCAACTGTTAATGTAATTCTTGTGAACACAGAGTAATTCAATTCCCTTCACAAGCTGATTA